GATGGGGGACCCAGACTCTAACCCACCCCTTCCAGGAAAGGTCCTCTCAGTCCCTGTATGCTTGCTATGTGACTTGCTTCCCCCTTTGATCCCCATTTAATCAGTATCTCCTAAGGGGCTATACTTGTAATCTTATTGGTCAACCATAGTTTTGTCCCACCTCATGCCCACTATGTGATGTCCCATTGGATCAATATTACCTAAATGACTATACTTGTAATCTTATTAGTTGAAAATAGTTTTGTCCCACCTCACCACACACACACACACAAACACACACAAACTTGTGGTTTTGCTCCATAAAACCCTCAAGAAGCTGGGTCCACAGGCAACCCACTTGGGGCGGGGGGCTCCTGTTTTAGACAGCTTTCTCTCAATAAACATTTCCTACTCTTAACCTCTGTTGTTCCTATAATTTATTCTTTGATTTCAGAGAACATGAACTCAGCGTATCACATGTCTAACAGGTTGGGAGTTGTAATATTTCCTTTATATCATTTGGAGGCCCTATATCATTTAGACACTGGAAATGACTAGGAGGCCAAGAGTTTTGTTTACGTTTCACCGGTAGATATTTACTAAGACCTACTATGCAACAGTGCTTAAGGAAGGAATGTGAATCAAAGGTGAACCTCTTTCCTCCTCCTCCACCTCCCCTCCTTTTTTATTGGTACTGGGGAAAGAACTCAGGACCTTGCACTTTCCAGGCAGGAGGCAGCACCACTGAGCTACACCCCCAGCCCACCCCTTCTCCTTCTGACAGGGTTTCTGTGTAACCCAGGCTGGTCTCAAACTCAAGGGGATCCTCCTGCCTCAGTCTCCTGAGTGCTGGGATTACAGGCTACCATGCCTCAGTTTGGACCTAACTTCCAACACAGGGAGAAGAGAACAGCAGAGAAAGAACATGACTTGCTAGAGATACCGACTCCTCAACCTCAAAACAGGGAGCCCAGTACTACCTTGTTGGGGCTTTGTGAAAACAAAACAGAGCACATGTAAGCCACGCTGATGGAGGCAGGAGTGAGGCACCAGAATGTGAAGCCTCACGTTGTGAAAGGTACTTCTGGGCTCCTACAAGCTCAGGGTCACACCCTGGGCTGGAGGGTGTGTTTACTTATCATCAATAACTCCAGTAGCACAGAGTCCAGAAGTCAGATGTGCCACCTGGTCCCAAGGGAACTGTATGGCCCCATCTAGCAGATGGCCAGCAGCCCTAACCAGATTCCGTCTGAAGGTTGGAAGTGAGGTGGAATAACAAGCTCATTTGCCTACAGATAGAAATTGTGTATCGTTGCCACCAAGGCCACTTTCCTACGCAGGAGGTCAGACTTAGGTGTGGTTCTGGCACCTGCGTAGGCCAGCCCTCCACTCCTTATGAAGGACATCAGTCCTTCTTGTCATCCAAGCGACTGCCAGAGGGGCAGAAGGGCCAGCCCAGTGGCTCAGCACAATTTTCTGATAATGTCTTTGTCAAGTTTTCTATCACAATCATTGATGCCTTCATGAAACCCAGTAGAGAGCTGTTTCTTCTTTCTTTTCTGAAAGAACTTGTATAAATCGGTATTCTTTCTTCAGTGTCTGGTGCAATTCACGAGTAATGCTTTCTTGGCCTGGGATTTGCTTCATGACAAGGTACTTATTTGCCAGAGGTGGAGACATATGCCCAGCCCAGCACTGAGGAGACTGAGGCAGGAGGATCACTATGAGCTTGAGGTCAGCCAGGGCTACAAGTTCAAGGCCAGCCTGAACTACATAGCCAGACCGTCTCAAAAAAAAAAATAAAATAAAATAAAGTTGGGCTGGGGATGTAGCTCAGTGGCACTGTGCCTGCCCAGCAAGTGCAAGGTCCTGAGGCGGGAAAAAGTTACTAATTCAATTTCTTTAACTGACGTAAGAACATTCAAGAGTTTAATTTCTTCTGATGTCAGTTTTTGGTTGACTTGTGTTTTTCAAGGAATTTGTCCATTTCTTTAATGTATTGATTGTCATAAGGTTGTTTGTAACCTTGCCATAGTATCATTTTGTCTTTTCTTTTATTAAGAAACAATTCATGCTGGGCGTGGTGGCGCACACTTGTAATCCCAGCACTCAGGAGGCTGAGGCAGGAGGATCACTATGAGTTCAAGACCAGCCTGGGCTACATAATGAGTTCCAGGTCAGTCTCAACTACATAGTGAGACCCTGTCTCAAAAAAAAAAAAAAAAAATTAATATACCATACAGTGCACCCTTTTAAGTGTAATATTTAGTGTGTTGTACTATATTCAACAGGCTGTTCAACCATCACTAATTCCAGAACATTTTCACTACCTTAAAAGAAACCCCGTACCACTCAGCAGTCCTTCTCCCTGTACCTCAGCCCCAGTAGTGACAAATCTTTTGCCTCTTCCGGACCCTTCTTACAAATAGAATCAAGTATGTTCAATGTGCTCCTTTTTTTTTTTTTTTTTTTTGCAGCACTGCGGTTTGAGCCCAGGGCCAGGCCCTTGTGTGTGCCAAGCAAGCATTCAGCTCTTGAGCTACCTCCCCAGCAAGATGTTCTTTTTGTGTGGCTTCTTTCCCCGAGTTTGTTTCCAAGGATCATCCAGGTTGGACACACGTCAGTCCTGCACTGACTCTTGTATGGCCACGTCCTGTTCCCTCGTAGGTGGTCACTGTGCTGATCTAGCCTTAAGCTGATGGGCATAATATGGTTGTTTCTGCTCAACTAGGGTAAGCACTTCCATCACAAACAGTCATTTCGTGTGTGTGAACGTGTGTGCTGCATTCTCGTGGGCCACATGGTAACTGTATGGGCTACACTTTGAAGGGGCTGTGCAGCCATACGTCAAAGCCAATGTACCATGTTACGGTTCCGGCCTGAGCTACAAAGCAAGCAACACGGGAGAGTTCCAAATTCTCGACGTCCCCAGCAATATTTGCTCTTTTCCATCTTTTTTATTATAGCCATTCTATTGTGCGTGAAGTCTCTCTGGGGTTACAATCAGAATTTCCCAGTGACTAAAGGGATTGAGCATCTTTTCATATGCATGCTGGGAGTTTGTATTGTCTTTGAAAAATGTTCAAGAGTCAGGCATGGTAGCACACATCTATAATTTCAATACTCAGGAGGCTGAGGCAGGAGGATCACCACCAGTTTGAGGCCAATCTAGGTTACATAGTTCAAAGCCAGCCTTGAATGTGTGTGTGTGTGTGTGTGTGTGTGTATGAATATGAGATCCAAATAAACAAACAAGAAAAGGAAAAATATTGAAATCCTGTGCCCCTTTTGTTTTGTTTTTGTTTTGGTACCAAGCATCAAACTCAGTACCTTATGCTTGAGAGGCAGGCACAGTGCCACTGATCTAACTCCCCAACCCATCCTCTGTATTTTTTTTTCCTGTGCCCATTTTTCATTGGATAATTTGTCCTTTTATTCCTTATATATTCTAGATGCTATAGCCATATCCAATATATGATTGCAAATACTTCCATTCTGTGGACTTCCTTCACTTTGAGGTAACTGCCTTTGCTTTTTTGTTTTTTGAGACAGGGTCTTTTTGTGAGACAGGGCCTCACTAAGTGGATCAGGCGGGCCTCAGCTACTAGCTGGGAATACAGACAGGCGCCACAGCACCCAGCTCCACTCATTTTACGCAGAGTTAAAGCAGCTTATTGCTCAACAGGCGGAGACGCACTGAGTCATGGGCAGAACAGGGGTCAGAGGTCTGTGGACAGTGGCAGCAGGGAACGAATGGGAGACAGGTGGCCTGGGCTGTCCAGCCAAGGCCAGGACGGAGCCGCTTTAGAGACAGCCACCGAAACACCCCAAGTTACACTACGACCCCAACCCCACACACACAAGGTTTGGACCTCTGCTGTCCCCCAGAGGCCATGCACTGAGGCTTGGTCCCCAGATGATGGCGCTCTTGGGAGCAGTGGGTCTGTTAGAGACGGGGCCCCTTCCTCTGAATCCTCACAAGATCCCACCTCCGCCATGCACTGCCTCTTGGTGAGCACAAAGCAACAGGGCCAGGCAGGCCTAGACTGAACCTTCTGAAACCAGGAGCCCAAAGAAATTCTCCCTCCTTTCAGCTGTTACCTCAGGTGTTTTGTCACAGAAGTGGAAAGCTGACTGACCCACTCTCTGCTGCTTAGGTGGCTTGGGGAAAGTTACTGGCACTGGGTTGAGGGGAGTTAGATGAGTTCTTACCTTCAGCCCACAGAATAATCCTACAATGAGCGAGGACCTCTGAGCACTATCTTCTTCATCTAGAACAGAGCTTCTGGAGCAGCAGTCCGGAGCAGTGAGGCAAAGATTAGGACCTGGCATTTTTCTTAACAGTCCTGGAAACTGTTAAAAAAAACCCTGGGCGCATGCTAGGCAAGCTCATTACCACTTAGCTATACCCCTTAAAACACACCCTGACGACTACACTTCTCTAAAGTCTAGTCAATATATGACTATCATTATTTTGTGTTTGCTGTAGAGACAGGGTTCCACTATGTAGTTTAGGGTGCCCTCAAAATCACTCTGTGGCCCAGGCTGGCCTTGAACTCTCAGTGATCCTCCTGCCTCAGCCTCCAAGAGTGCTGGGATTATAGGCATGTGCCCTGCCTTGCCCAGCTGTTTTTTGTTTATTTGTTTTTTGAGATACATTCTTGCTCACTGAGGCTGGCTTCAAACTCATGGTCCTCCTGCGTCAGCCTCCTGAGTGGGATTACAATGGGGATTATAGGTAGGTACCGGCACACCTAGTTTGACTAGCTATCTTGTTTTTCAAACTCTGGAAGAAAAGTACAGTACAAAGAAACTCTCTGCCAAGATCTCACTCATTTCTCAGCTTATGTGTATGAGTGGGAATACTGGGGGCTGAACCAAGGCCTTGACACTGACTTACATCACCAGCCCTTTCATATGTTTTTTATTTTGAGATAGGGTCTCATTAAGTTGCCCGGGCTGGGCTCAAACACATCCCAGATCACAGGGATTACAGGTAAGTGCCACCACATCCAGCTCTTCATCTCTTTTTGGAGTAATACTTCTCATTTAAATCAATACCTACACTTTTTTTGTGGGGGGGGCTGGGGATCAAACCCAAGGCCTTGTGTACCTTAGGCAAACCCCTACCTCTGAGCCACATATCCCCAGCAGAGCTGCACAATGGGATCCACACCCATGTCAAAACCAGAAGGCATCTTCATGTGCCCAGGGACTCCCGATCTGATGCGCTCCATGGGACCAGACCAACGTCAGACTCTTCTGCCACAGCAAACTTCTAGCTTGGAAAAATGATAACCTCCTGGATTACAGTGAACCAAGACAACAGTTTACGATACTCAACTCAACGTGACGGCTCCGCGTGGACGTTAAGCTCAATGTGACTTTATTTAGAAATCTGCTAAGCTGAAGGAGGGATCTGATCTTTTGTTAAAAGAAAGCAATTTTCACATTGTATATTTAGCCATTTTGGTCTCTGAGTAACAGAAAAGCATTTTCTCTTCAAAACCCCCTCTCTAGCGTACTGAGTCAGGTGCAGGGCGACTTGTGGCCAGACGACCCACTCCCTGCACGGAGGCACATGACGAATCCTCCGCCCAGGGGCGCCTCCTGCTCTCCTCCCAGCACACAAGGTACTGTTCTCACTGCTCCGCACAGGTCCCTGAGGACCCTTAAGTCTTAAGTTGGGGAAAATGTGAAAGGATTCCTTAACTCATTGCTGGCAACAAACCCAACTGGCTGTTACTTCCTGACAACTGCAAGTACAAACTACTTGAAATTTATAAGATGCTCCACATGTGATGGAACAACTCAAATGGTAAAAAAATTAGGTGAAGCAACGTGTTTTAATTTTTTTTAAATGTTACTTCATCAAATTTATCAAGATAAGATATGCAGCCTGTTCTTGTACTTGGTATTATAAACTGTGGACTGATACTTCAATGGTCAAAAAAAAATAGAAGAAATCAAACATAAAACAATGCCTGCGGGATATGTTATGTTTTAAATTTTGTCAACTGAAGTTAACCTGAGGGAAAAAATGATCTACAAACCAACACCCAATTTTAAATGATGAGGTAGATTTTTTTCCCTATACAGCAAAATGAAGATAACAAAGAATACGCACAACTTCTAAGTCCTCTTATAAAAAAAGAAGGTTGCAGTCACTTCCACAGCAAGACATTTATAAGCCGTGGGGTGGAGAGGACGCTTTGATAGGCTCGGAACTGGTGGTGTTACTTGGAGGCTCAATAATCAGTCTTGGCTCAATCAACTCCCTCCAGAAAACAGTGATCTGAGGAAAAACAAAATAATCCGTTTAAGCACTTCATTTTGAGGTCCTATAGTGGTTTTTTTAATATAGGTTTTAGTAAGTTAAAAAAATTTAGGTGAGTCAAGTAAACTTCCATTTGTATAGAATAAAGAGCTAAAATAATTTAGTACCAGGAAATTGAGTTAAATTAGAGTAGAAGAACTCACCTAGAATGCAGCTAAATTTTATATCAAACATATTTCACCATTCTTTGGTTTCCAGCAGAGGTTGTAGGGGCTGGAGAGACCAAGTGCCACGAGAGGTTCTAAGGTGTCAGGAGGACTGGCCCTGTGGGTCAGGGGCCTGGAGACCCCCGGGAGCTAGAGGCAGCCCGAGCTGGTGTCAGCAGGTTACTGACATCCTTTCCACAGCTCTGTTCTGGTCCTACACTGCCTAAAACAGGAACTGCAACTCACCTAGAGACAACACCACACCGGTGGCCACATGGGTGGCTAACGCGCCACCTAGTGTCAGACAGAGAACTACAAGTTTTCTAAGGTACTTCAGGCCTCCCCGTTCAAAAAGCCGGAGAAGGCCTCCAAGGTTTACTTCCCAATGCAGTTTTGTAAGAATACATTTCAACAAAAAGTGGAGCTTATATTTGCAACTGAAGTACAGGAGACTGGACCAAATGTGCCGAACCTACCAAAAACCCCACAAATGTACTTCTGGGTGCCTAAGAGTGTCACCCATCTTTAAAAAAAAGGGAAGTATAGTCTGGTTAGGGTATCTGCAAGTTTACAACTCAAACAAAACGTGAACTCTCAATATTGAAACTTACAAAACAATTAACACCACATTCCAAGTATGAATGCCTTAAGACAGCATTTCCTTAAGAATGAATTCTATTTATAAGCTATCCATGGCTAGCAACTCTGGTAGTTTATTGCCTAAAAAAAGTCTAAACCACACACCATACTTCCTAAAACGGCAATTTAAAGGACAGAACCATCCTTATTCGCCGATCTTTACACCACCCCTGCTCTCACAAGTCACAACTGCATAGATGGCAGTGGCTGCAGTGCACGTGAGGGAGCCTTCTGAGGGCCATTCAGGGTCTGTTTCTTGATCTGAGTCTGGCTAAGCTACTCTGTTCTACCACAATCTCTATAGAAGTAATTTTTTTTTTTAATATAGGGTCGATGTAGTCCAGGCTGACCTCACATTTGCAGTGACCTTCCTGCCTCAGCTTCCCAAGGGCTGGCACTACAGGCATACCACCATGCCCTGCTTAACTATAATTTTAAGCAACTCTACCCTTTTGTGGTTTGGGCATCTTGCCACATAGCCTCTTTGGGGTCCTTGATGGCACCCTGATTTGGCAGCTGGCACTTGGTACTGCTATTCCGCAGGGAAGATGAGGTGCCCCCAGAGTTCCTTCCATTTCCCAAGCTAGTCAGCAAAGGAGAATGCCCGACCATGCAACACGAGAAGAGATGCACGCCTACCCTCCTCTCCTGCATCACAGCGTACTCCACCACCTCAGTTCCATTTTCATTGTGATAAACCAAGTCAAATTTCCCAGGTTCCTTCACGGCTGAAACCAGAAAGGAGGGAGGAAAGGCAGTAAGTCATTTCTTATGCAATGCACGGGGAATTTACACCACTGAGAAAACAGTCACAACAAACCCAGCTGATGTGAAGGCTAGAAAACACGGAGCATGCAGTTGCAGAAGGCTCTCAGAGAACCTCGGCCCAGCAACAGTGAGCTTCCTGGCCACTGATCAGAGACGACTTGTCGTTCGTCAGAAAGGACCTTGAACTGTCACTAGTACTCCCAGAAAAGGTTGTGGAACCACAAGATAATCCCAAAAGATAACTATGTGTTTCGACGAGGACAGTGATATGAAATGCTTCTCTCTCCTCAGAAATCACACGTGTCCGTAACCTGGAACACTCACAGGTTTCAGCCTTGCACACTAGTGTGGGCTCAGAAAAATGACTGCGCATGTCAAAACCACACCTGGCAGCCAGGTATGGTGGCACACGCCTGTCATCCCAGGACTCGGGAGGCTGAGGCAGGAGGATCGCTGTGAGTTTGAGACCAGCCTGGGCTACATAGTGAGTTCCAGGTCAGTCTCAACTACACAGTGAGACCTTGTCTCAAAAACCCAAAAAATAAAAAATTAAAATAAAAACTTTTACCGTATAAGGAAATTAAAAAGTAGTAAAAGCATTTCCATGCCGTACTTTACACTTTATCTCAGGAGAGTTGGGGCATTGCTTGTAGTCTGGCTGTGAAGTGTACAATACCGAGTGAGCGCCTTTCTTTCCCATGGCTTGCGGAATCAGGTATGGATCAGCTTCCGGTGTTTTTATCCTTTGAACGTCTAACATTATGAAATGGTTCCGAAAAGTCTGGTGTTTTTTTGTTGTTGTTTTTGTTTTGTTTTTTTCACTTTGTGGGCTCTCTGTAAAGATTTTAGCTGGTGTCACTTCTGGGAAAAATCTGCAACCTCTTCTTCTGGCCACTGTCCTCATTTTTGTCAGGAAGTCACGCGGACGGCAATGGCAACATTCCCGCCACTGGCTGTTTCACCTGTAACTGCTTAACTGCGATTTGGATGCACTTCCAGCACCCTCGCTCTTTTGCTTTCTCCACTAAGCGCTCATCTTTGTGGGACAACTCTCTATTTCAGTTACCCATTCGATGAAAATGTACTCTCCGGAGACGGGGAGGCAGCGCACTGGCCGCACTGCTGCCTGCTCGCAGAGGGGAGATGCACAGCCGCTGATCACCGCCCAGACTTCGAAAAGAACGACGTGATTGGCCAGTGATCACGAGACCCCTACTACTTACTCCGGGCTCACTGCCTGCACTCACCAGCAGGTCATGCGGTTACAGTGAACACGTCCAGGATTGCTGGGGACTGGTGCCACTGAAACCATGGCAACTAAAATTCACCTTTATCAGAACCATGCAAAGCAAGGACTGCTTGTATTCTCATGGAGAGGCCCTGAAGTCATTTCGTAGGGCCTCAAAGAAGCTGGACGCCATCGCTGTCGGTCACCTGCTAAGCAGTGATCAGACTGTATCTGTGTTATTTGGCCATCGGCAAATCTCTGTCCACCACCCCTAAAATGAGTATTTCCACCAATGAAACCACATTGGAAGAAAGCTGCAAAACCGGTGTAAATGATATCTAATCATTTACTTCGTATCACGAAGGGATTCTGCTAAAAACTCTTTTCACTCATTTCTAATGAAATTTTCCATCTTTTACTCACGATGTTACTAATCAAAAACAGAGACAATTAATTGCTCTCGAGCCTGCTGAGTGAAAAGGGATATCCTTGCTCTCGGGCTGGGGACCCCAGAACACATTTCAAGCTGGGCTCTCTGTAGTAAAAGCCCTTTGTTCGACTTTCGGAACCAGTAACTGGGGGCAGTCATCAGGGATGACACAGGGAAACTCTAAAATAGCATGCGATTGGCTAGCACATGTCAGGCCTGGTTCAGTCCCCAGTACCACACACATAAATCAATCGAACAGTAGGTGGGACTGTGTGTGTGTGCACATCAGTCTCTCCTGACTGAGCCCACAAAAGCAGGTTCATTTACCAATCTTTTGAAATAGAGATGAGTAGGTCTTATGAGTTCACTAAGTAGAGATGTTTTTCTTTTATAAACTGTACTCTTAATGTATTGACCACAATTTCCAGTTTTGAGATTTTCTCTCTTTTTTGGTACCAGGGTCTTTGCATTGAGCTACATCTCCAGCCCATTTTTACTTTTTATTTTGAGACAGTGTCTTGCTTAGTCACTAAGTTGTCCAGGCTGGGCTCAAACACGGATTCTCCTGCCTCAGCCTCCCAGAGTAATGGGATTACAGGCATGTACCACATGACACTTGGCTGATTTGAAGTGTTTTTTCTCTTTGGTCTCCTGTGGGTTTCAATTCTCTCTTCAGATCCTTGCTGGGTCCCAAGGAAACCACTTCCCTCCTCCTCCTCTTCCTCACATGGCTTTATTCCGGTGTCTGGACACCAAATCTCAGAGAGAATGTTTATCTGCTGTTCACTACTCCACCATCTTCCTGGAACTGAAGTGGTTTTTGTTTGCTTGGTTTGGTTTTGGTTTCAGGACAGTCTCACTATGCAGCCCAGGCTGGCCTGGAACTCACAGTGACCCTCCTGTCACAGCCTCTTCAGTGCTGGGAGTACAGGTGTTCATGTACCCCACACACACCTGAAGTGATTTTTTTCTTCAGTTTTGCTTTTTTTATGTGTGTGGTACCAGGGGATCAAACTCACAACCTTGTACTTGCGAGGCAGGCACAGTGCCACGGAGCTAAATCCCCTGTCCTGAAGTGATTTTTTTAAAGTGATGCACAAATCACCGGGCAATCTAAGTGTAGAATCTTCTAGAGTTTTTACTGAATTCCTCCCAATCTTTTAAAGACGACCCACCAACATATGACGACACTTTTTCCATAATGCTCTTCAATTCAGGTTACCTAGAAATACTTCTTTTTGTAATCAATTTCGTCAGCTTATATAATGTTTTTATAAAGTCATGCAATCACCGTGATTAGAACAACCAGTCTGACAGCAGTCAGGAGACATTCACCCCAGGGAGCAGGAGTGCAGCCCAGGCCGCAGGGCACCAACTGGCCGTGGGGAGCACTGAGCAGCGGCCAGACAGAGGCAACAAAGAGAACTCCTCTGCCGGGACTGCTCAGAACCCACTGGGAACATGAGCAGCCTACAGTTTCGTTTGTCTGGAAAAGACTCACCAGGTAAGGATGACAGGATTTCTATGTCTACTTGCTGGGTCTCTGGATTGTGGCTTAATAATTTTCCTTCCTTTCAAAAATAAAAATCCAAGTCAAACAAACAGGTAAAACATTGTAAATACACTTTAAAAAAATCACTGATTTGTAGACTTTCTTTTTTAAATATTGATGGTCTTTATTCAAAACTTTATTGGTAAAAAAGAAGGAAAACACAGGGCATTGCAGCTGATTGATTTGTAGACTTTAAAATATTTAACATGGTAAATTTTATGTGATATGAACTTAATATCAATAAAAATGCTTAACATTGGGTTTGACTCCCAATACTGTTACAAAAAAAAATTTAGGATAAAAATAATCAAAACTTTTGCCTGAGTGCTATACTTTCCTTCCAAGTTTAAAGTCGTGAAGGCATGGACATTCAAGTAAGTTTATGTAGGGCTGGGGATTTAGCTCAGTGGCATTGCACCTGCCTCGCAAGCACAAGGTCCTGAGTTCGATCCCCAGTACTGCAAAAAATTAAAATTAAAAAAATTAGAAAAAAAATGACTAAAAATCAAGATCAGGCTAGGGGAATGACATGTATTACAAATGTCAGCACCTGGGTGGCCAAAGCAGGAGGATCTTGAGCTCGAGGCCAGCCTGAGCTATACAGTGGATTCAAAGCCAGCTGAGACAACATAACAACATGCTGTTTCAAAAACAAATAAAACAAACAAAAGGACTCAAGCTCAGGGCTGGGGAAGCAGCTCAGTAGTACAGCACTTGCCTAGTACATGCTAGGCTCTGAGTTTGACATTAGCACCAAACACATACAAAATCAAGTTCAACATTTTCAGGGTTGGGGATTTAGCTCAGTGGTTCACTGCCTACCTTGAAAGTACAAGGTCCCCCCAACTGAAATTTCAACTGTATAGTTCACAGAACCAGAGAAAATAATCCAAAAATTCATTTGGAACAAGAAGAGACCTAGAATAGCAAAAGCAATTCTAGGCAACAGAGACATGACAGGGGGCATCACAATCCCCAACTTGAAACTATACTACAAAGCCACTGTGATGAAAACAGCATGGTATTGGCAAAGAAAAAGACTCAAGGATCAGCGGGATAGAATGGAAGATACAGAAACCAGTCCAAATGTACTCAGCTACCTCATCTTTGACAAAGGCGCGAACCATCCTCACTGGACGAAAGATAGCCTCTTTAATAAATTATATTGGAAAAACTGGATTTCAACCTGTCAAAGATTAAAACTAGACCCTTATCTTTGACCATGCACTTAACTAAAATTCAAGTGTATTAAAGATCTAAATACTAAAACAGAAACACTAAAACTTTCTAGAAGATAAGTTAGGCAGAACTCTCAAAGACACTGGCATAGGAAAAGGCTTTATGAACAAATCCTTGGTAGCACAGAAACTAGCCCAAAGAATCAACAACTGGGCTCTCATCTTATTAAAAAGCTTCTGCACTGCAAGAGAAACCACCAACAGAGCTAAGAGACAGCCTACAATGTGGGAAAAAAATTTTACCAGTTACTCCTCAGACAAAGGACTATTATCTAGAATATATAAAGAACTCAAAAAAATCAGGCCCCTAAATATAAAGACCCTATTCGAAAATGGGCATCTGAAATGACCAGACAATTCTCAGGCAAAGAAGTAAAAGCAGCAAATAAATACAAGAAAAAATGTTCAGTATCATTGGTCATTCGAGAGATGTAGATGAAAACAACACTGAGATTCCACCACACCCCAGAAAGAATGGCTGCTATCAAAAAATCAACCAATAACAAATGTTGGTGGTGTTGTAGGGAGAAAGGAACCCTTCTCCATCATTGGTGGGAGTGAAGATTGATGCAACCACTGTGGAAATCAATATGGAGATAACTCAAAAAACTAGGATTAGAGGTTCCATTTGAGCCAGCCAACCCTCTGATGGGTATCTTCCCAGAAGAATTAAAGGAATCATACCACAGTGATATCTGTGCACCCATGTTTATAGCGGCATAGTTTGTAATAGCTAAAATTGAAAATGGCCCAATTGTCCATCAATTGGAAACTGGATAAAGAAGATGTGGTTTTTCTATAAAATGGAGTAAAGAATAAAGACATAAAGAATGAGAAACTAGAGTCATTCATAGGAAAATGGGTGCATATGCACAGTGAGGCCATACTCTTAAGTGAAATAAATAGGACATACATGTGTAAATACCAAATAGTTTCTCTGGTGTGAAAAACTAAAAGTGTAACTATAACTGCTAATATGAAATAGGAAAAAAAAAGGCTAACGGGTAGGGGAAGTGGAAGGGTAGGAGAAAGGAAAAGAAAAAATATGAGAAAAGGAAAAAATGGAAACAAAGTCTGTAAATAGGGAGGGTGGAGCGGGTAAAGGGAGGGCAGGGGTATTGGGAAAAAATGAGAACCAAGACCTGTCATGCGAAGGTACAAGATCCCAGTGATGAATGTAACTATACAGTATACCTAAAATGTACCAATAAACTCAATGAGAAAAAAAAGAAAAGAAGAAAGTGCAAGGTCCCAGGTTTGATCCCCAGTACCCCCCCCAAATTATCTCAGTCTTCACAAGTTCATCATTTCCCATGAAAAAACACTGGGAGACTTTATGGTCATATTAACAAGTTTATACTTTGATGACTTTTGCGGTTGTTTTTTGAAACAGGGTCTATCTATGTAGTTCAGGCTGGCCTTGAACTCACAGTGATGCTCCTGTCTCAGCCTCCCAAGTGCTAGGATTACCAGCTTGTACCACCACACCAGGCTTAACAATGTTTTTATTTCCTATTACATCCTTTTCCTTAAAAAGACAAAACTATAGCCGGGCATGGTGGTGCACATCTATAATCCCAGCACTCGGGAGGCTGAGACAGGAGGATCGCTGTGCATTTGAGACCAGCCTGGGCTACACAGTGAGTTCCATGTCAGTCTCAGCTACATAGTGAGACCCTGTCTCAAAAAACAAACAAAGAAAAAACTATAACATCCATCCAGCTAGTATTAAATATAACTTTAGTTCTATTATACTGACAACTCAATATTTAACAGAATTTCTTTGTAGCGACAGTGTCTCACTATATTGCCTAGGCTGACCATGAACTCCTGGGCTCAACTGATCCTCCTTAGCCTCCCCAGAACTATAGGCACACGCCACCATACCCAGCTAACTTAATTACTTTTAAGTAAACAACCTTACCTTGTAGTCAGAGACATCAGGAGAATAATCAGATGTTAGTTCCAAAAGCTGAAAAAGAAGAAAATAACCCACAAGTACACAAGTCCTCTTACACTGCCCTGTTCCATGCTCGTGCCTCCTGCCCCCAAGAAAACGCATAGTGACCAAGGTGTCCAAGGCTCTACCGTGAACCTGGTATAATGCTGCGACTCCAGGAAGAAGGGCTTTCCTAAACATGACATATTTAACATCACTTGCTAAGAGTCTCCTTGGAAGGGGAGCTGACCATTTTTTTTGTTTTTTTGTTTTTGAGATAGGGTCTCACTATGTGGTTGAGACTGACCTGGAACTCACTATGTAGCCCAGGCTGATCTCGAACTCACAGCGATCCTCCTGCCTCAGCCTCCTGAGTGCTGGGATTACAGGCGTTTGCCACCACGCCTGGCTGGGAGCCAACCATTTTTGTTGTAATTGTTGCTGTTTTAAAATCTACCTTAATACCATATATCTAAAATGTATCAATAAACTCAAAATATAAATACATAAAAATAAAATCTACCTTAAACGCAATCTTTTCTCCGAGTTGCGGGGCAGCTGCTAACAGTGGTAACAGACTGTAGTCTTTCTTGGGTAGCTCTACTGGATTCTGAAAAATACCATCAGTCATGTGACTTGGTTACTGGGGAGAAAACGGGAACACATGAGGGGAGTCCTGATGCACCATGGGCAGGGGAGGGCGGTGACACATGAGAAATACTGACCTGGATGATGGTGGATATGTTCGACATGGTCTCGCTTAGCTGCTGCTGCTTCTGACATTCAGGGTTTTTATTTAAGACACAGGGCAGGGCATGCCCTCGTCCTCGACCTCTGCCCCGCATGCCCCGACCCCGGGCCCCCTTCCAAGAAAGAAGGTCCTGTCCTCGCCCCCATCCTCTGCCGATACTGGTGGGGACAGACATGCTGGGCAGAGGGACAGGAGACTCAGAAGGCTTCCATCCCATAGTGCCCGGAGTCTGTGGTGAGGGCCCAGGCCCTGGACGACCCCTTCCTGCGAAGAGGCTGGCTGTCTTTAAGAAGCTGACCCCGCACTCTGGCACACGCTTGGATTCTGCACTCTCGTCCCCCGAGGCTGAACTGGAATCTGAACTAGAGGAGGATGACGAGGAGGCCCTGATGGTTTTGCCCTTGCCAGGAGCAAGGTTAAAGGCAGCTTTTGTACACGGTCTGTTTGCAGCTGTGTTTTTTGTACCGTCCTTTGGTAACTTTGGTAACTCAGCTGACAGTTTCTCAGAGGAATTCCCAGCCTCCATCGTGGCCTTGCTGAGACGATCGCTGCTTGCTTCGGAAGACTGCGACTCTGAGGAGGACGAGGGACTGCGCTTTGCACACACGCCTCCCCCGACTTTCCTTCTGGCTTTGCCAACGCCGTTTCCGGCAGAGCCTTTGGGGGGACCACAGTTCGGGGTGCTCCGTTCTTTTACTGCCTGTGCTTTCAGAGACCTGCGATTCTTGGTCTGTTTCTTATACTCACATTTCTCCTTCTTTGGTGATTTCCTTCTGGTCTCTCTGTCATCAGCATCCCCCGTGTCACACGCTGCTTTGTTTTTACGCTTGCCTTTTTTCCTCACAGGCTGGTTTTGGACAGCTTTTGGGTTCAGATCTGAGGCCTTCTCATGATTGCTGCTGTTCTCTTGCCTCTTCCAGTGCTTCTTTGAGAACACGTAACCTAATTCAGTTTCTTCATCCTCCTCCAAATTAGAAGTCCGCTTCTTGGCTTTTACAGGTGAGAAATGACTGTCGCTACCATTGCTGAGCAGGACAGAAAGCTCAGAAATTGCACTGTCTTCTAACTTTACTCTGTCAAAAGAAGAGCAAGAGTAAGCAAGTTCAAACACTTGGCTCCAGGATGAAGTTATCTATTGACCGAGATGACTACAGTAATGTCACTACTACCGGTCCAGGAGAAATATCACATCCCCTAAGGACAAAAGTCCTTTTGACGAAAAAGGTCTACATGGCATCACTTACACACAATTTTAACATGGCCAGTTTAATTTCCTGAATATCAACTATGCCCCAAATGGTTGTTTTTTGTTTTTTGTTTTGTTTTTTTTTTTTTGGTTTTGGTTTTTTTTGAGACAGGGTCTCACTATGTAATTGAGACTGACCTAGAACTCACTATGTAGCCCAGGCTGGTCTGGAACTCACAGTGATCCTCCTGCCTCAGCCTCCTGAGTGTTGGGATTACAGGCCTGGCCCTCCCAAATGTTTTCTATACATGTTCGCTGATCTAAATAACATCCCACAGTAGGTAGTTTTCATTTTATAGGCTGCAAAATTACAACTAACACAGATAACTTGCCCGATATCCACAGCTGGCAAGCAGCAAAAAGGCATTCAAATCTCAGTTTGCCTAACTGAAAAACTCACCATCTTTCCATTATTTGTACGGCACCTCCCCTAAAAGGTCATAATGCCAATTACCTGTTTTTGTTTTGGAATATGTATTTCTTTTAAAATGAGATTTTATTTTAGTTATTTTTGTTTTGTTTTGTTTTGTGAGACAGGTCACACTACATAGTTGGGATACGTAGTTCAGGCTGGCCTCAAAATCACAGTAATCCTCCTATCTCAGCCCCTGAGTGCTGGGATTATAGGCATGTGCAACCAACCATGCTTACTTGAGATTTCTTTTTTTTTTTTGGTACTGAGGATCGAACTCTGAGCTAAATCCCCAGCCCCAAGATTTCATTTTTAATACGGCTATTTTTGGCAAACATTGACTCAACCTAGGTACCTCTTTACAGATAAGTGGTTGAGGATTGAACCCAGGGGCTTGGACATGGTAGGCAAGTATTCTGCCACTTAGCTTCATTTCCAGCCCTTTTTTATTATTTATTGTGAGACCACATCTTGTTAAGTTGCCCAGGCTGGCCTCCCAAGCAGCTAGGATGACAGACCTGTGCCATTGTGCCCGGCTCCCTTTGTTGCTGAATATTGCTTTCCCTAGAGTATGTCAGAATCACACACACACACACACACACACACACACACACACACACACACACACACAAAAGGCCAGGGATTTAGCTCAGTGGTGCTGCCATCTGCCTCACAAGTGCAAGGTACCAAGTTCGATCCCTGGTACCAAAGGGGAAAAAAAAGGAATCACAAAATTTCTTCAGAACATCGGGGGAGTCAAGGGAGAGATTTCACCCCTCTGGGCCCCACCAGTTCCCTGCAGCCTCCCTCCTGCCTGGCTGAGGCTTGCAGTGGCCACATTATGACCTTCACAATCAGGAGCATGATACAAAAAACTAAAACTTCTCAAACTTAGTCTTTTCCTATGATCTTCCCCATGTACAGCTGCAGAGATTTTCACTTTCATTTTACAGTGCAGGGGATCAAACCCATGGTACATAGTAGGCAAGCATTTTACCACTGAGCTACATTCCCGGCCCCAAAGGTATTTTTTGCCATATGCAGTTGTGCATTTGAACCATTTAGGAAGCATTTGCCTGGCATCATGCTGTAATTATTACTTATAACAGCTTTCATGGTTGTTTTTGATCTTGTTATTTTTATAATAGAGAGTATAAATCCCAGACGACTCATAAACTGAAGTATGACTGTCGTGAGCTAGCAGCAAGTCATTAATTCATTAGACAGAGGAAAGTTCAGAAAACAAATTTAATTGGGACATGGCCCTTAATAACTTTCGTGACTAGCACCTGAAATGAAGAGAGAATGTAGACCTAGACAATAAAAAGGGAAAAGAATGCTTATTTCAAACTGTTACTTGAAACAGCTGAATATTACTAATAAATCAGTGGTCCTGATGTAAGAGTGAGAAATTCCCCGATGTTCTGAAGAAATTTTGTGATTCTGACATACTCTACGGAAAGCAATATTCAACAAGGAAGGGAGCCAGGCATGTTGGCACAGGTCCGTCATCCTAGTTCCTTGGGAGGCTAAGGCAGGAAGACTGCAAGTTCAAGGCCAGCCTGGGCAACTTAAGATGTGGTCTCACAATAAATAATAGAAGAAATCACGACTGCTCCTGTGTGTCAGCCTGGTCTCCTGCACCAGACCCCGGATCAGCTCGAGGTAGCCCGGTTTTCCCACGCTGGGAACACAGTGCCTCCCTAAGGGAGGATTCGCTAAACCAAGGCTCAAAGCAGCACCGGCCCTGCTCAAGAGCACTGGAGCTGTCCCAAATGTGCTCCACCCACAATCAGTAGCATCCAGGGGTAGTGGTTAAGGAGCAGATTTCTGGGCCAGGGATTTAGCTCAGTGGTGCCGCCGCCTGCCTCGCGGATTCCTAAGACCCACCCTGGACTAGATCGCTCAGGGTCTCCCAGGTTCTCCGCTCACGGTCCCGCGCCTGTCGCGACCCCGGCGTGCGCAGCCCCCAGACCCCCGCGCACCTGAGGCAGTCGTTGTCCCTCACCAGGCGCGCGCTCTCGGCGGGAGGCAAGAGCCCCCCATCCAGGTAAAGGCCTAGGAAGGCCCCAGAACTGAAGCCGAAACGCTGGCGGATGAGACTAATGAGATCCGTGACGACTCGGCATCTGTTCAGATCCACCAGAAGCCAGAAGACGGTACAATGTGGGGTGACTGGCGGCGGGTAATCAAACTGAAGCCGTAACCTAACCATCTCGGAGGCTGCCATCTTGCCAGTGCTCCACGGAAGCCGGGAGAGACCACGGGGCTGGCGAGAGGCGCGCTCGGATCGCCTGACCCCGGGGGGGGGGGGGGGGCGCCGGCCGGCGATGGCAATGGGTTACTACAGGCTTCGTCCACTGAGAGAACGTAAGAGCTCGGTGGACGTTTTGTTCACGAAGAGCTAGGGCAAGTTATAAATGAAGTATCTTTATTCCTTTCCTGGAAAGCACTGTGTGAGTCCGAATTTCGGCAAGTCGGTGTGATGAAAGTCTTCTAGAGTATTTGCTCATACCTGTAAAAAAGTTTTAAAACGATCTCGTTGAGTATAGTAAACTGCATATCATATAGTTGAAAAATATGTAATTCCTAAAGTATTATCAAAATTGACCTTTAGAAATAAAACCATTAATCACTCTTCTAAATGCATCCAGTGGAATATAAATACCTTAGCCATTTGATACCCACCACCATTCACTTAGAATATACTAAATCGTTTTATTCTGATTTATTAAATAAATAAGGAAATCTACACCATTTCTTTTTTTTCTTTTTATTGAGTTTATTGGTACAATCTAGGTATACAGTACAGTTACATTCATTATTGGAATCCTGTGCCTTTACATAATAGGTCTTGGTTTTCATTTTTCCCCTTGTCCCTGCCCTCCCTTCACCCCCTCCTCCCCTTCCCATTTACAAACACTTTATTTCCATTTTTTCAGTTTCTCATATTTTTTCCTCTTCACCATTTCTTTATTGAACTAGACTTCCCATTTCTCTTATAATACACATTAACTCCTTAATTTCATGACAAAATATGAATTATGATATACATCCTCATTTAGGAGGTTTTAAAACCTGAGATCACTAGCCTAGTAAGTGGTAGATAGCTAGCTATCAGTAGATACATTTTTTAAAAAGTATTAGCTGGGCTCGGTGGCACATGCCTATAATCCCAGCCCTCAGGTGGCCGAGTCAGGAGGATTGCTATGAGTTTCTGGCCATCCTGGGATACACTCAGCGAGTTCAAGGCCAGCCTCAACTACATAGGGAGGCCCTCTCTCAAGAAAAAAAAGGGGGGGTTTTAAGTTTTCTTTTCCTGTGAGTCAAATCTCCTAGCCTTTACTATTATTAACAGCATAAAATCACCATTACTATTATTACCATTACTATTATTAATAGCATACAGTTGCGCAAAACAGCATAAAACAGCATACATAATTATCCATAAGTGACACTTAATAAACATATAAAGTAAAATGCTTCCTTAGGTTTCTTTAATTCAAGTATCCATAGATAAATATATTACATGAGACCGAGCTCCCAATCAGTTACAAACCTATCTTGGCTTTTTGTTTTTTGTTTTTCCATTAAGTTTATTGGTACATTTTAGGTATACAATACAGTTACACTACCACTGGAATATTGTACCTTTACATGACAGGTCTTCGTTTTTCTTTTTTCCCCATTCCCCTGCCCTCCCTTCACCCCCTCCACCCTTCCCTATTTAAAGGCTTTGTTTCCATTTTTAACTTTTCTCACAGTTTTTTCTTTACCCTTCTTTCCTTTCCCCTAGCCCCACCCCACTTCCCCTACTCCCTTTTGTTTTTATCGCCCGTAAAGCCCCGCGATGCTTTGCTCCTGTTAGTAAGTAGACAAGAATGGGGCGGGGGCTACGTTGTTTTGACAAAGTCGCTCAACTCCTTACACTCCTTCTGGGCTGAAGTCACAGAGATCTGGCTCGAAAGAGTATTCTCCGCAGCCGGCAGCTCAAGCTCTTGCTCCGCGGTGCTAAAGACAACTCGGCGGGAATCACCTGACTCTCAAAGAACACACCGCTCCCTTTCTCAGAGTCCGGGAAGGCGGCGCGTTCAGCCCTGGCCAAAGCGCAGGTAAAGGTGAGCAGTAAGCTCGCCTCAGACCTGGAGCGCACACTGCTTCCCAACGGCCCCTGGGCCTTTTCTCAGCGTTCTTGCTCACCGCAGCGGGGGACCCTGTCATCTTGGCTCCTTTAATGCAAAACTGCGGCCGCGCACAGTGCAGGTGCTCTCCCCAGGTACTGGCGCAGCTGATCCACAGAAAGCCTGTCCCGGATGCTGGGTCGGATTGGCCGCAGCCTTCGAGCGCCGCCCTCAGCTCTCTGGCAGGGGATCAAAAACTTCACTTTCCCGCCCGCTTGAGGTGTTGGTTTGTTCTTTCCCCGCCGCCCGCGGTCCCGGCCTTGCCACCCCCCACCCCGCACTGCGACAGAGGCTTTTTTAGTGCGATTTAAGTGATTGTTACCCGCTGATTCTCTTGTTCAGAGGTGCCTGGTTTACAGAACTAAAATTAGAGAAAAACAGGGGCCAAACTGATGATTTTATTAAAATGGGGCTTGTGGGGTTAACAGCATGCCATCGGCTAAGATGAAAGAGCTATAGATTCATCACACGGGGACAGAAAGATAAACAGCTGTGCACTGTCATAAATAGACTTATTAGCAATTTAATTTCAGAGTCAAAATCAGTTACAAACCCATACTTGGCAGAATTGCGGAGTATATCAACATCTGAAAACTGCAAAGAAAGAGGGACACACCAACTCTGCCTTTCTGAGTTTCCTCCGTCCCAGTCTTTAGAGCCTCTCGGGCCCTACAGAGCAGAACAGAGCAGTTTATTCCAAAAGTTGGAAAAGGCAAAGTAACTGCTTGGCCTACTGATGTCCTGGCATCTGTGGTGCGTTTTGCAGTGAGCCTGCCTGGCTCTGCCATGAACCTGCAGTCAGAGTGGAGTTGGCCAGCCCTCAGCCATGCGGAACTCACGATTCCTCCAGGAAGGCCCCTTCAATCAGCACAGTTATTTAGTAGCAGTTATAGAAGAGGATCTAGCTCAGTGGTTCCATCACCTGCCTTGCAAGCGCAAAGTCTAGAGTTTGGTTCCCCGGTATCAAAAAAAGAGAGGGGATGCATGAGGGCTTCTTGAATGGGTGCTAGTCTTAACCTAGTCTGCAGTGGTAGGAAAAGCTTTTCTTGTAAGCAATATTAACTAGCAGCTGAAGGCTCAACAAAACCAGACAGGAGCTGGGGAAGGAGGGTGGGGGACACTTCACAGTGAGAGCACCTGCCGGTACGGGGTGGCACAGGTGATCAAAGGGCAGGGGCAGCCACAGAGGAATTCACGGACCAGCCCTTCTCAAAAGAATCACATAAATCTTTAAAAATAAACAATGTTTGCAATCTTTTTTTTTTTTTTTTTCTTTTTGAGATAGGGTCTTGCTATGCAGTTCAGGCTGGCCTTGAACTAACTGTGTAGCCCAGCTGGCCTCAAACTTGCCGTGATCCTCCTGCCTCAGCCTCCGGAGTGCTGGGATTACAGGTGTGCGCTTGGCTAGCAAACACAGCCTTGAGATGCATTCCTCATATCTTTCTCCCAGTCTCACCATCTTCTGTAGAGCCCTATTGTGTGTGTGTGAGTGTGTGTGTGTGTGTGTGTGTGTGTGTGTGTGTGTGTTTAGCCATTCCAAGAGAACAGGTTTACACAACAGAAATGCAATCAAGTTCAAATAGAGCCACAAGCATTTAAAAATGTTGTGGAGCCAGCTCCCCAGGAGAGAATCTTCCTCTACCTCTCAGTCCCGCATGGATTTTCCCTGACAGGACTCCCCATACCCTGCCCAACCCACACACCCAGCCTCTCTTTCCTTCCCTCTCTCAGGAGCAAAACAAAATTCCCTTTGAGCCTGGAGCAGGGAAGATTACAATTCACCTTGGTTGTCTTAAATAAAACCCCTATATCATCAGCTCTACCTCCTAACCTCAATGAACCAATTATTTTTCTTACAACCCACTCTAATCCTTAAGATTAGCACTGTGCTGTTGTCATTAAGACAAGTCTTCATCTGGGTTCCAGAATATTTGTTTAGTTCCAGTGGTTATAAAGAAAAGTGGCAGTGCTGCACTAATTAAAAGACCTCTAGTGTGGGAGGCCACGTTAGTGCACCTACTCAGTCTGACACACTTGGCAACACATACACAAGCGATCCATTACTTGGGAATTCTTGGGTTATGGGAGCATTGTGGAGCTGTCCTAGCTTGGTTAGCCTTTGCTTATATCATCAAAAACTTCTAGCCCGAAAACAATATTGACTTAGAAAATAGGTGAATTAGGCCAGGGATTTAGCTCAGCGGTTCGGTGGCCTGCCTTGCAAGTGCAAGGACCCGAGTTCAATCCCCGATCCCAAACAAAACAAAACAAACAAACAAAAAAAAAGAAAAGAGGTGAATTAGTCTGCATTGCATAGCCAAAGGACAAAACATTTAAGGAGAGGCTCTAACCAGGCATGATGGCCCAGTTCTGTAATCCTAGCACAGGGGAGGCTGAAGCAGGAGGATCACCATGAGTTTGAGACCAACCTGGGCTACCCAGTAAGTTCAAATCCAGCCTCAACTACATAGCAGGACCCTATCTCAAAAAACAAAAAGGCTTTAAAAATCTATCAGAGTCTAGTATCATTTTTTTCCCAGTTAATTTCACAATTTTGTTTGTGGATTTTATTGTTGTTTGGTTTGTTGGTTTGATTGAGACAGAATATTCCTACGTAGCCCAGGCTGGCCTTGAACTGGAAATCCTGCCTCAGCCTCTCAAATACTGGAATTTCACATGCACCACTATATGTAGTTTTTCCTTACTGTATAAAAATTTTCAAATATATAAAAAGTTTGAAAAAAACCCACGTTATGATGAGCACTCATTTACCTACCACCATATTCCACCATGAATGCCTTAATGCCTTACTCTGAAAGTTCCTTTATTGTATCTGTTCATTCCTTTGTGTGTGTGTGTGTGTGCACTGGGGGTTGCTGGGAATCAAACCTTTGCATCTAGCTACATCCCCAGCCCTTTTTATTTTTTTTATTTTGAGACAGGGTCTTGCTAAGTCCCTAATTTTCCCAGGCTGGGCTCGACTCTACAATCCTCCTGCCTCTGCCTCCCAGAGCTCTCTGATTGCAGGCATGCACCACTGCACCTGATTTATTCATTCCTCTTTCCGTTCATCTACCCACCCATCTTAGATACTAGTGAACTTCAAAGAAAATCGCTGGCATTGAATCACTTCCCCTAATCACTTCAACACATGTATCACCAACTAGAGGAAAAAATTTTGTTAATATTTTTTTCCTTTTGAAGTAAAATCAATATATTATAAAGCACACCAATCTTAAGCTTACATTTGCTGAGTTTTGACAAAGGCATATGTCTGTGTATCACAGACCCTAGTCAAAACGGACATCACTATTATCCTAGGAAATGTCCTTCCATCCCTCCTCGGTCCTCAGGGGCATCACCTAGCTGGTTTTTGTACCACTGAGCCAGTTCCCTTGCCCTCACTTGCATCTGAAGTATCACTACTGAATACATCCACTCCATGACTTAAGAAAAAGAAATTTAGGTCCGGGATTTAGCTCAGTGGCTGTGCTGCCTGCCTTGCAAGCTCAAGATCCTGAGTTCAATTCCCGGTACCAAAAATTAAAATGAAGATTTAAAGTTGTTTTTTTTTTTTGGTACCGGGGATTGAACTAGGATCCTTGCACTTGCAAGGCAGGCCACCGAACCGCTGAGCTAAATCCCCGGCCCTGAAGATTAAAATTTTAAAAAAGAAATTTAGAATTACATTAGTAACATTTGTAGCCCTTTATACAATAGTATCATTTTTATTTTAGAGAAATAATCTCAACCTTGAAGGACAGTATGCAACCGTATGGATGTTTGTTCCCGAGCTATTTCTGCAGTGAAAAATTGAAACCCTATCTGAAACAGTTACTATTGTGTCAGGTGCTGGTGATACAGGACCAACCTGAAAGACTAGCTTAGGATAGTGTTTGCTACATAAGTCTTTCTTTTTGACTAAGGGGGTGACTTTTCTGTGTGTGTATGGTACTGGAGATTGAACCCAGGGCTTCATATGCTAGGCAGGTACTCTACAGCTGAACTATAGTTCCAGGCCCAAGGTGTGACTTTTAAGTACCTTCCAAATGGTTGGCCAGAGGACAATCCTCTGAGAAAGGCATTGTGGGGTTTCATCTTCTGGGCCACCCCGTGTTGAAGCTGGAGAGAACTTGGATGAGTGTTTCATTAAAAAAAAAAAAAAAAAGTATTACAGCTCGAAGTAGTGGCACATCCCTAGCACTCCTAGAAGCTGAGGCAGGAGGAGCACAAGTCTGAGTCTAACCTGGGCAAACATTCATTCATTCATTTATTTGAGACAGGGTATCACTGTGTAGTTAGTTCAGGCGGATCTTGAAATCACTATGTAGCCCAGGTTGGCCTCAAACTCACCTCAATCTTCCTGCCTCAGCCTCCCAAGTGCTGGCATTACAGGGGTGCTCCACCATGCCCAGCTAAACTGGGCATTTTAGCAAAGGAACAAGAACCTGTCTCAAAATAAAAAAATCAAAAGAACTAGGGATATACCATAACTTAGGGCAAAGGTCCTGAGTTCAACCCTGTAGTACCACACCAAAAATTACAAATATACATATGTGCACATGTGTGTGTGTGTGTGTGTGTGTGTGTGTGTGTATATATATATATATATATATATATATGTATACGTGTGCATACAGATCAATGGAGTGCACTGCAACATTTACATATACAACACCTTGATCATGTCCACCCCCAACCCCAGTCCCTTTCACCTTCCCAGAAAGTCCCTCTACTATTTTCAGGTCTCCCCTCCCCACACACATATAAGAGAAAACATATTGTATGTGTCTTCCTGTGCCTGGCTTATTTTGCTTAGAGGGATATGCTCCAGATCCATCCATTTTCCCGAGACACGATTTCATCCTCTTCACGGCTGAACAGTGTTCCATCGTGTATGGACGCAGACACCACACTTTCTCCATCCACACATCCGTCCATGGGCACCCGGGCTGACTGTACCCTTAGCTGCTGTGAATGGCCCCGGTGAGCACAGGTGTGCAGCGTCTCTACAGGGGGCTGCCTTCCTCCCTCTTGCCCGCACCCTCACTTTCTCTGTTCCCTCTGCTTCTGGAACAGTCAGAGCGCCTCACCCAGAAGAGCAGGGCAGGCCAGGGGTGAGGCCCTGGGCCTCCGGAAGGAGAAAGGACTCAGGGCAACAGATGCTGGTCTTCTCCCTGTTTTGTCTTTTTGGGTTTTGCTATATGCACTTCTGAAACAAAGTTATTTAGAAGTAACCTGATCCTCAATATAGCTCTTGTTGTATCTCATTTCCGAGCTTTGTAAGGAGAGTTACACACACACACACACACACACACACACACACACACACAGCAGGCCACACACTTTATCATCGCGCCTGTCCCAATACCTTCTTTAAAATGACTGGAGATAACGTAACACTACAAAATAATGTTGATCGCAAATTATCGTGAGGGAAGAAAAAAATTATTACTGAGTTTTAAAAGATTAAGAGAGCTGGGCTGGTGGTACATACCTGAAATCCTAGCACTCAGGAGGCTGAGGCAGAAGGTTAGCAACAAGTCATAGCAAGACCCTGTCTCGAAAAAAAAAAAGCGGGGGGACTGGGGATTTAGCTCAGTGGTTCTGCTGCCTGCCTCTCAAGCACAAGGACCAGAGTTTGATCCCAGGTACAAAAATAAATAAATAAATAAAGGTCATGAAAAGGTATCCTGAGTGTGTCGATAACGGCTATGTACAGTGTAAAATTTGTTCACATTTCCAAAATATTCATAATACATATAATTTTAAAAGAAAAATAATTGTTTAAAAACCCACATCTCTGAATATGGAGCCCCACAGTTGCCAAAGACCAGCTTGATTCAGGCCTAATCTGATGGGGGCAGATACAGCAGTTTTTAAACTGCCAGGCCTTTTGTTGGAGAAGGCAGAGATGGGCGGCGGGGGCGCGGACACGGTTATTTCTCTGTTGTTTCTCAGACTAGTCCAATAATTGAAGTTAAATAAATGCATTAGCCTGGCGTGACCCGCACAGGCCACGCCCCGGAGCGCTCTGCAGCCCCGCCCCAGCCCCGCCCAGCCCCTCTAGGCCACGCCCACGGGCCCGCCATCACGTGATAGGTCCGGCTCCTGCCGGTCGCCCTGACTGCTGCACTATAGTCGTCATGGAACTGGCGCCGCGGAGCTCTCTGCTGCCTCGGTGGCTGCTGCTGTTCCCGCTGCTCCTGGGCCTCGGTGGGGGTAGGTTCGGCAAAAGACGCATGAGCCGCCGGTGCCGCTGGGTAGGGGGGTGTTTTTGTTAGTGGCTTTGCGTTTTTAAAAACAAATTTCTTTCCCCTGTACTTACCTAGCTTAATTCAGTAGCTTTTTGAACCTCACGCTTTTTTTTAAAAATTCTAGTGCCATCCTGGACTGCATAGTGAGACCTTGTCTCAAAAAAAAAAAAAAAGGATTGGGGAAACTGCTGATCAGTGATTTTTCACTCGTCATTCGACGGACTGGCTCTTGGTCTGAATCAAGAACTGAGAATTCGAAGTAGCCACAAACTTGCCTTGTGATCTTAGCTAAGTTGCTCAACAGTTCTCAGTAAAATGGGGTCACCTGGCCCTATAACTTGTGTCTGGGGCGTGTAAAGTAAGCTGCCTCCCACGTTTTAACAGTGGACACTGCAAGGCAAGGAAGAGGTGCCAGGGTTAAGAGGGACTGGTATGAGCCTTATTTGACTTTTACTTTTTTGTTGTTGTTTTTGTTTTTTGAGATAGGGTATCACTACGTAGCCCAAGTTGACCTTCAGTTTGCTTTGATGAATCCTCCTGCCTCATCCTCCCAAGTACTGGGATCACCAGCACTCACTACCATGCCCAGCCCTTGGTTTTCAGGACTCCATCCTTATCTGTCACTTTCGAGGTGACTGTCATCTCATATTACTTTATAGAATCTTGTAGCCATATCTGTACTTTTCCAGCCCTTCCATTTCACTTCCTGGTTTTCCTTTCCTTTTATTATTTTTTCTTTTTTTCCTCTGTTAAAGAGGCTTGAAATTTGAGAAAGGAAGAAGTAGAAGGCAGAAAACTCGGTCACTAGTACTCTTCCATCATCTTGTCTTTCCTTTTCTTTCGAGGGGACTCACTGTGCTGCCCAGGCTGGCCTTGGACTACTGGGCTTGAGCATTCCTCCTGCCTCAGCCTTCCCAGTGGCTTAGTCTACAGGCATTTCCCACTATGCCTAGCCTGTCACTGAGCTAAATCCCTGGTCCTGTTTTTTGTTGTTGTTGTTTTTTAATAATCAAACAATGGTTTCAAGAAAAATGATATGGTAGTTTGAATGTTATTATTTCAGCAGCAGGTGACATAGAAAATGTACTTAACCTGAGCTGGGTGTGGTGGTACAGGCCTGTGATCTCAGCATTTCAGAGAGTGAGGCAATAGAACTTTGAGTTCAAATCCAGTGTGGGCTACTTGGTGAGACCCTGCCTCAGACACACAAAAAGTATTTAAGCTGCACTTTTCCAGTAAATATTTCACAAATGTTAGAAAAGTTAACTGAGGAAAATTAGAGTTGGAGGATCACAATTAAAAAAAAAAAATCATTGAGTTGGAAAAGTAGCTCCATGGTAAGCATTTGCTCTGCCTACGTGAGGCCTTGGGGTTTGATCCACAGCATTGCAAAAGCAAAAACAATATAAAACAAAACAACAGAAACATTCCAGAAAGGTGTAGAGGAAAAAGCGGCACTGTTGCTATGACACCATTCCATGTGGCTTTTTTTCATGACCAAGGTTCTATTTTTCTTTATCCCCACAATATCTGGGGCAGGTAAATTGCCCAGAATATCAAATATTCTCAGTAGGTTGCATGGCCATCGCTGCGAGGCTTGGTATGCGTCTGAATGTTAGACCTTTCCCGGGAAAATGACCGTGAATTTCCGTTTCAGGAGCTGTCATTGACTGGCCGGCAAAAGAAGGCAAGGAAGTGTGGGACTATGTGACTGTCCGCAAAGATGCCCACATGTTCTGGTGGCTCTATTATGCCACCAATCCCTGTAAGAACTTCTCAGAGCTGCCCCTGGTCATGTGGCTTCAGGTAAATACTTCCTTCCTGGCCTCAAGTTAAGGCCCCCGTCTCCCACTGTTATCTCTGCTTGCTCACGGCTGAGCAGTGGAGGAGGTGGGAGACTGATTTTGTCTGGCAGCCGGGCCTGGGGCTTTGGTGTCCTTCTAAGGCAGGCTGAGGCAAGGGTACCACCAGGGGGCTGAATCGCAGGGGGAAAGAGGCCTAGCCTTTTGCTGGGGTCCTTTTAAGTTGAGTCTGGACAGTTGCAGGAAACTTTATTAAAGCTGCCGCTAACACATTTGACTCTGTATACTGGCAGAAACTGTTTTGAAAAGCTTCAAAGCAGAGACAGAGGCACCTCAGTTCCGCTCCTCCCACAGTTCTTTCTTGGACTGTAAGGTCTTGCCCTGCAACCAGGTGGTTCTTAACATCTTGCCCCCCAAAAGCTCATCTTTTGAAAGAATTGCTCCAACCCTTTTGTGGCTCAATCTGAACACAAGGCTCCAGCCTTCTCTTTAAGTGAGTTTGCATTTTACTATTATTATTGTTGTTGTTGTTGTTTGTTGTTGTTTGAGACAGAGGGTCTTGCTGTGTAGTTCAGGCTAGCCTTGAATTCACTGTGTAGTCCATGCTGGCCTTGGACTTCTGGCAATCCTGCCTCTGCCTGCCAAGTGCTGGGATCGCAGGCAGGTGCCACCACACCTGACTGAGTTTGCATTTTCACAGTGACCTCTGGTGGAAGGCAAGGAGCTTTCTGAACTGTGTTTAGGGATAGGCAGAGATCTTTCCTACATTCCTGAAATGTCTGTCCAGGGCTACAGGCATTTGCCACCAACCCCGGGGAGGGGGGATCTTGCTTTAGCCTCAGGTAGGGCCCCTCAGGGGTCCGAGTGGCTCACCAGTCACATAGGGCACCCTGGGACTCACCTCCACGGTCCCAGCTCAGACATCCTCCAGAATCGTCCCCCAGTGTCCCGGCTTTTATTTCCCAGCCCTGCTGCAGACTTCCTGCTGGGATAGAGTGCAGATGGACAGTTTCCAGGGAGGGACCTTTTTCTCTTAGGGTCTTCACATGGCCCCCTTCCGGAGCAGTGTGTGGGGCTGGCTCTGAGGCCTTAGGGAGGAAGATGCACGGAAAGTGTCGGCCCAGGTCAGCACGAGAGAGCTGGGCGTGGACAAGGCGGGGCCTGCTGGGTGGGAGACCTGGGTTTTCATTGCCTCCCTGCCACTTTTAACCGTGGCAAAACACTTCCCTTCTCTGGGCCTTCATTTTCTAAATCGGGGATTGGTGGTGCTCAAACTTTTTGTTACTCGGTAGGACTTTTGTTCCCATCCAGTGAAATCTCACTTTGAGCAGCTACAGCAGACCAAAGCATAAGTACTGAGGCTGGGGTGGGACCGGATGCCGTGTCCTATATATGTGGCCTCCTGTTTGACCCTGGGTGCCCACTGGGTATTTTCCTGGCTTTGCAGAAAACATGTTGGAAAAACAGCTGACTTTCAGAAATCACGATCTGTTCCTTGGTTAACTGCAGAATTGTTTAAACTGAATTAATGCTCTGTGGTGTTTTAAAACCAGGACACTTCCTTGCTCTTCCCAAAAATTAGGAGATCTAGCAACTTGGGGCCCAAGCTCCGTGCCCTCAAAGCTGAGGGGTACGGAATCCCCCTCTCAGAGAGGACAGGGGATCTGTGGGATGTGGGGCCTCCAGTCCCGTCTGATTTTCTCTGCTCCTTCAAAATAGCCTCTGCCTGGCCCTGGAGGCCGTCTAGTTTGTGACCTTCTGTTAAGTTAACCTGTAAACTGAACTGTTCTGTGAAGACACAGTTGCTCTTCTCTATTTCTCCAAAGGCCGAAGTGAAAAGGTAAAAAAAGGATGATGAAAGAAATAATTAATTTAGATTAAAGGAGATCTGTGTTTTAGCAGCCTATCAAGGCTGCTTCACTGACTGCTGGGTGGGGGATCTTTTGAGAATTAAGGTCATATCGTAAATGGAGTAGCAAGCTATTTTAGGAAGACTTTCAAGCCTTCGAAGCATTTCGTTTGGTCCACTGACACATTTACCATCTTTCCGAGTCCCCAGGTAGCCCTGGGCTCCGGTAGTAACCCCTTCCAAAGCTCTGAATTAAAGATTTTGCGGTCTTTTTTTGTATTCAGATAGAACTGATGCTTCCTGCCAGCTTCTCCTTGCCACGGGGAGAGGGGAAGGGGGAGTCACCTGCTTCTACTCTTGCTTCCCAGAAGCAGCCTGGGGAGTGGGATTTCTCCCACAAAGACCCAGCCCCGTAGGATTTTCAGTTTCCCAAGCCTTTCACTTTGATTCTGCCCATCCTGTTAGGCTCCGTGGGAAAAAAGGGCCCAGCTTTCTTCGAGGGTACATACTTGCTTTTAATTTATTGCATAATGCATATTGCATTTTGCTGCTGGAGCATTTTCCAGTGTTGCCATGTAATCTTTCAGAGTTTGTGATTCCAAATGGCATCATTACGCCTCCTGCAGATGTGATTTACTAACCCATTTCACTATTTCAGGACAGTGGAGTTGTGCCCTTACTGTGATTGGTGTGGCTATAAATGGCTCTCTGATGAACATCTCCAACTGGTTTGTGAACTTTTTAACCGCTGTGTTAGGAAATCTCAGGCTCCCCTTCATCTCAAAGTGCATAGAGCCTCTGATTTTATCACCTGGCTCAAAATGTCTGTGTGGGCAGCTTCTCCCTGCTGGGGTGTCTTGCTGGGTTCAGCCAACCCTCATTTTCTTTGCTTTAGATTTCCCTAGGCAAATTAGCCTGGCTTCTGTTGGGCCAGGTGGTTATTCCCTTTCATCTCTTCTTCTCTGCCTTTCCTACCCATCTTGTTTTGCACAGCAAGACTGGGTCCTTTTATTCTAGGTCCAGATCATCTCCATCCACCCAGGCTGGTAATGCTGCTACCATTGCCTCCTTTCCGAAGTTTAGTCGGCCCTTTTGATTTTGCCAGAAAAGCTCTTCTCCCTTGACTGTCTCCTGAAGAGCTTCCTCACATGACCACCAGAAGGGCCACCCCAGCTGCCTCATTTTGCCCCTTCCTTTCCCAAGTCCAGCCAATCAGAGCCATAGAAATTCTTCCATCATCCTTTGGGGTCTCCAGCTCCAAGCTTAGGCCTAGATTCCTGCCTGTCCCTGCTCTGGATGTCCATAGTAGCAGATGCTCTTGCCTGGGACTTGCACATTCACTGTGTTATGTAAGGAAAATTGGCTTGCCCGAGTTGTGCCTCTGTCTTGGTCCCTTTGTCCATCCATAGGTTCTCAGAAGAGAGAGTCTCCTAGTTTTGCAGAGGAGAAAAGGTTCGGCGGCCCAGAGTCTGGTCTCTGTAGACCCCTTAACTGCTGTGCTGCTAAAGCTCAGCTTCATCCCCACTGTGGATCTCACTGCCCTTTCATGGAACGCAGTTAGGTGAGGTATTTTTCTAGGGCTCTTCCAGCACTGAAAGTCTGGAAGCCCGTGTCAGGCCACGCCTGAGACAGAGAAGTAGGAGGGTCCCTGGAGGGCATCGCAGCGCGGCTTGGTCCTTTCAAAGAGGACTTCAGCAGTGACCGGGGGAGTTTGGTAGATGCAGACACCCGTGTTCACTGGAGAACTTGGGTCTTTTATGCACGACGACCCAGCTGTCAACTGAATCATAAATTGTTTCTAGTGAATATGGTCATCCTTTGTAGCAAATAAGATGTTGACTAAATTTTCTGTAGGTTTCCGTCTCATTTCTTTCTCTCTTACAGGGTGGTCCAGGCGGTTCCAGCACTGGCTTTGGAAACTTTGAGGAAATCGGACCCCTTGACGGTGATCTGAAACCACGAAGAACCACCTGGGTACCGTGAGGCAGCTTCTCAGGCTGGGCCCCACCTGGTGGGAGGGGCAACTCTAGCACCCCACCCCCACCGCTTTCCAGAGGCTTTGGTCACCTGTCTTCTCTGTCTCAGTTTCTACCTTGTCTCGAGACAGCGTATCCAGCAGGTATTTCTTGCCTTCTCCACGCAGCCCCAGAGACCTGCTGTGGCTGACACCTTGTCCTTGCCAGCAACCTCATCCTTCTCGTTTTTCCTTTCCAAGTTTGGTGCCCTACTCGGCCCTCGTCCCCATCTCCCAGCTGTGCAGAACCACACAGCACGGGTCCGGCGGTTGCACAACCGTAGCCTCTCCAGGGCACCACCGCGCGCTGTGTGCCTCCGCCCCACCCTCCCCAGCAGCAGCCGTCACTGGGAGTGTTCTCTGCTGCCCTCCAGTTCCCTCTCGTCAGGAGCTCGCTCACCTGTCCAGTCTTCCAATGTGTACTTCCTCTTTTCTTGTCCTGGGCTGCTCCTGTGCTTGCTACTTGGTAGCAGCAGCGAGGGCCCCACTAGCTGGTGCCCAAGCCTCCTAGACTGAAGGGCAGTGAAGCTGGAGCAAAGAGCCCGAGTGAGGATTGAGGAGCCTGTGGTCCAGTCCTAGTCCTGCAGTCACCTGTCCCAACTTTGTGACCTTGGACGAGCCCCGGCCCCTTTCTGGGCTAAGATTTTGAGTACTAAAGAATATGGCTGGTCTGTTCCATCACTGAGGACCCTTCCAGGTGCAGAAGTGTTTTTTTTTTGAGCTAGGGTTTTTGCTGTATAGTTCAGGTTGGCCTTGAACTCACTGTGTAGTCCTGGATGGCCTCAGATTAGCAGTGATCCTTCTGCCTCAGGCTCCCAAGTGCTGAGATTACAGGTGTGTGCCACCACACCAGACCAGGCGCAGAATTTTTGACTCTCGACCTCTTTGGAAAAGGTGTAGAATACAGTGTATTCCTGCAGTGGACAGGGAACCCGGGCCCATGTGGAAATTGACTCATCTGGAAGCAAACTGCTATGTGATGTCCAGACGTGCAGGGGACCCTCACGGCTCCGAGTGACTGCATGGGCTGACACTGCCCCGGGCAGCCTGCACCAGTGTGTTCTGGTACCTGGAGTGCAGTAGTGTGTGTGAAAGGGGCCGGTGCAGAGTCTCTGATCCCTGTGTGCCTGTTACTCTTTGCTTTTTGAACCTCAACCTGTCTTGGCTGCGGTCTGTGTTCCTGTCTCTTTTTGTAAAAATCCTTTCAGCGACAAGATGGCGTCCCCCACCCTACTGTTATATCACATATGTGGTATTGCCGAAATCTGTGGTAGGAAGCTAATCACTGAGCAGCCAGTTGACTGCCGCATTCTGCTCTATGGCATGTAGCTCCAGGCTGCCAGCCTCCTCTTCGTGGACAACCCCGTGGGCACTGGCTTCAGTTATGTGAACACGAGCGATGCCTACGCCAAGAACCTAGCTATGGTGGCTTCAGACATGCTGGTTCTCCTGAAGACTTTCTTCAATTGCCACAAAGAATTCCAGGTAAGCAGATACTCGGGCGCAACTGAGTAAAGGAGGGGAGGAGCAACAGTAATTAATTCCTTAGACTGAGTATCAGCTTCCCCAAGAGTCTGCTGCCTGGCAGACCAGAGAAACCCCTTTTGCTCCCACGATTGAGTTGTGGGCTTTTGCTCAGACAGTCTTCAAGGGCTCAGTGGTACCGTGCCTTCCTTCCAAGCACAAGTCCCTGAGTTTGATCTCTGGTACCAAAAAAATAAAATAAAATAAAAGATAGTCTTGTATCTGGGCATGGTGGCACACTCCTGTAATCCCAGCTCTGGAGAAGCTGAGCAGGAAGATTTCCCTAAGTTTGAGGCCAGCCTGGGCTACACAGTGAGATCAAGGCCAGCCTGAACTGCATATCAAGACCTTTTAGCTTAAAATAGTGACTGTGGAATCAGTACTCTAATCACATACAGGGAAAAACACGAGAACAGGCTTGTTTTGTCTGGCTATGACATGCACTAAAAATTTGTAATTATTTTGTGTAAATGAAAAGGCAATTGCAGTGTTTAATCCTTTATAAATACTTGTTTTTATTAGACAGTTCCGTTCTACATTTTCTCAGAGTCCTATGGAGGAAAAATGGCTGCTGGAATTGGTCTGGAGCTTCATAAGGTAAGAGGGAAGATGCCTTTGTTGCTGTGTGTTTGGACAGAACACTGATTATGGTACCTTTTGCATTCAGCTGGTACGGGATATACTTTGAATAGAGCCTGGAACAAGCAGAGTAGAAGTAAGTCTTAGTAACAGCACTCCTGGCTGGCGATGTAGTTCACTGGTAGAGCACTTGCCTGGCATGTCTGAAGCCCAGGCTGGGTTCAAATTTGTGATCTTGTCCTAGCCTCCCAGAGTACTGGGATCACCACTGTGCACCACCACACCCAGCAGTGTGCTGTAAAGTAAATAGAAGGAGCACAGAGGCCTGAGTTTATCCTGAGGCATCGGCTCCACCCTCAAAGATGTCCTGCAGATGCCTCCAGCCCTTCCCTGACCTCCCAAGGGGCCTCTTGCAAGCACCTTGGGAGAATCGCAGTCCTCGGGGAGGGTGACGGTGTGGCTCCCAAAGGGGCAGACCCACAATCCATGAGCAAGACAGAGACGCTGAGCAGCCAGGAGAGAGCTACCCTGGCCCCTGGCTGTCTCTGCGCCCTCCTGGTGGCCAGGGAGTCTCACAAGGGTGGCAGAAGTTTGCACTCAGCAAAGCCGATCTCTACCTTTGGTGACAGTGCTTCTTGGTTCCTCTTTCAGGCTGTTCAGGAAGGAGCCATCAAGTGCAACTTTTCTGGGGTGGCTTTGGGCGATTCCTGGATCTCTCCTGTTGGTAAGTACGCAAGTTTTAGGCATTTCTTCCCTCCCACTTCCTGGGATTTAGGATTGTGTCGTCCAGGTCAGGGAATGAGGCAGCAGAGTTTTCTGGGTCCTTGGAGAAGTCAGCATAGAACATGCTCATCTCAGGAGCCTCCAGGAAGCATGGGGTGAAGACCCGTTCCCAGCGCACCCACCGCTGGCTGGACTCCTCTTTTTTTCAGTCGCACAACATAGGAATTGAATTTTGCAGTTGGAAACATTGCGCAGGCTGCACTGCGCCCTTTGACACACTGCACAGGTGTCCTAGTAAGGATTCCAAGTCAGGTGTAACGCAGTACAAGGGCCAATCCAGTCGCCCGCTTGTCCGCCGCACCACCCCGATGCTGGTATGAGTAATGGGAGTAACATTCCCACCTGGTGCCCATGTTGGGCAGGGCAGAGTTGTCATCTGGTCCAGCAGCTCGTGGGTCTGCGTTTCACAGCTGCACATCCCTGTTGAGAGCCCAGATGGCAGGTGGCTATGTTGAGATGTTGGGTGTGGCTTCAGACATCAGCAGAACTGATCTTGGTGGGGCTGATGTCCCAGGGCGTCCCGCCGTCCTCAGTACGTCACATCTGGGGTAACCCTTGTTGAGGGCACGGCCCTGGGCACTGGAGGGTGTTTGTCAGCAACATCTCTGGCTCTGCTGTGAGGTGTCATGGGCAACCCCCCGTGTCAGTCCGAAGGGTCTCAGATGTTGCCAGATGTCCTTTTGAGGAGAGCACCCCTCCTGGTGGGGAGCTGCTGTCCTCACCTAACAAAAGGTGACTTTTCACCGGCAAAACCAAACTTGAGTGTCGGAAATGGGAAAAGAAGGTGGCTCTGGGGGAGGTGGGCTGAGCAGGACTAAGGGTGTGCTCTAGGCTGCTGGGGTCCCACGTCTTGACCGGGTAGGGCTGCAGGGGTGTGGACGTCAATCAGAACATCTGGAGGTGCATTTGGAATTTGTGATGTGTGATTATGGCTCAACTTCTGAAAAACAATGATTTATAAAAGGTAATGTTTTCCTCCCAGAAGATGAGGCTTTGGGGTGTTCTGAGGCCCCTTGGAATGATTGTCTCTCGCCCTCCTGTGACCTGCAACTCAAAGGCCTGAGTTTCATAACCAACCATCCTTGGGTGCATGAACAAGACCTGCCCCTGACTCACTGGCAGTGCTAGCCGTCACCCTTTCGGTGGGGTCTCATCACTGTTTCAGCACAGCACTAACACCGTGCGTGTAGTAACTTCCTTTTACCCTTAGCAAACTCCAGAGCGGAGATGCTGTCATTATACTAGTTGGGTACATGATGAAACTGAGATTCAGAGAGGTTAAACAGCCTTCCTAGAGTTGTAGTTTACTGCTACACTAGTAAAGCTGAGACTGAAACCAGGCAGCAGGTGCTGGAATGAGGGCACTGACCAAGGGTCTACATGGCCTCTGCCAGATGGGTAGCCTCAAGTCTGGTAAGTGCTGTTCAATCTGTCTAGAATCTACCTTTTTTCTTGTTTCCATGACCCACCTCACTTTATGAATCTACCTGTTCAGATATTTTTTGGTTTGTTTATTTGTTTTGAGACAGGATCTCACTATGTAGTTCAGGCTGGCCTTGAACTCACTATGTAGCCCAGGCTGGTCTCCAACTCATGACAATCCTCCTGCCTCAGCCTCCTGAGTACTGGGATTATGAGCATGTGCTACCACACCTGGCTTTAAACATTTTTATCGTTATAAAGTGTCACCCCTCCATCCCTGAAGCATACTTTTTTGAGGAAAGCGTACTATCTATAGCAGGGACCCAGCTAGGTGCTAAAGGCACGCATCTTCAAGGAGGACGTGGTATTACTCAATCGCTAAGCACACAGGGTGATTTCAGTATTTCAGCCCCTAGCCACACATGGCTGTGGAAGTCAAAATGAATTAAAATTCCAATTTCAGTTTTTCAAAGGCACTGGCTACCTTTCAGCTGCTCGGCAGATGCATGCGGCCATGGCCCTTCATTGTGGGCCACACAGATGCAGAGCCTTTCCAACACTGCAGAGAATTCTGCTGGGTAGGGCGGGTCTGGGTCGGAGGTTGGCACACAGCCCTGCTGGCTGCCTTGGTGAATAAGGTTTTTATTTGAGCCGCAGCCATGCTGTCCATTTACACACTGGCTGTTTGGAGGTTTCGAGGACAGAGTTGAGTAGTTGTGACAAAGACCACAGCTAGCGCTGGAGAACTGCGAACGATTCTGAGCCAAGTGTGGTGGCGCACTCCTGCGATCCCGCCACTCTCAAGGCTGGGCAGGAGGATCCTGAATTCAAAGCCAGCCAGGGCCACATAGTGAGTTTTGGGTTTTTTTTTTTTTTTTTTTAATTTGTTTTTTTGGTACTGGAGATCGAACTCCGGACCTTGCACCGGTGAGGCAGGTGGCAGCGCCACTGAGCTAAATTTCTGGCCCTCGATAGTGTGTTTAAGGCCAGCTCAGGCTGGGTAGCAAGATCTTTTTTTTTTTTTTTTTTTAATCAAATAAAATGCACCAGGTGATTTGACATTTCCAGAAACTAAGGCATGGGCTTGAAAGTTAAGCTGGAGAGGTGCAAGCCAGCTGGGTCACAGATCTGTTATGCCTGTTTCTCGGGATTGCTTCTGAAGAATACCAGCCACACGAAGGTCTCCGTTCACATGAGTTTTGGAAATGCTCAATACTGGCTTCACCAATTCAGGATCTGTAGGTGCATTACAGCTCTGAGAAGTCCTGCAGTAAAGAAATGTACTGTATGGTGCATAATCCTAAGGCATTTAATCTCATAATCACTTTTCCTAATACCTAGATTAAAAAGCTGCAGAACAGAGATTGTTTGACACGTATATCAAGAGACTTGGCCGAAGGGAACCATTGTAAGTCTCTAAGCAAAAAAGGGACAGTCTCAGATGTGCTTTATACACAGAGACCCTTGATACTTTTGCTTGTTTGTTTGTTTGTTTTTTGGTACCAGGGATCAAACTCCGGACCTTGCATTTTCAAGGCAGGCAGAGGAGCCACTGAGCTAAATCCCCAGCCCATTGTTATTATTTTTGAGACAGGGTCTTCCTATGTGTTCTGGGCTGGCCCAGAATTTGTGGCAATCCTCCTGCCTCAGCCTCCTGAGTGCTAGGATTACAGGTGTGTGCCCCCATACCTGGCAAGACCCTTGGTACTTTTTTGACACACCTCTCATGCCATTTGTCTGACCAAGTGACAGGACATCTGTGAACTTATCCAGCCCAGCTCGCTGTCTTGCTCTGCCTTGCTGCTCTCGGGCAATGTCTTATTCCTGTTTATGTCTCCTGGAGCTGTTTGCTGCCCCTAGATCCTTAGGAACTTCTGAGCATGACAGTGAAACAAACTGAACTAGGTGGCAGAATGACCGAGACACTGGAGTTACAAACATATTAGGCTGCTTGCTTAAATAGAGCAAACAGGATATGGAGCAGAGATGTGAGGGTGGGGAAATATTTTAAGCTGTCAAGAAGCCTAGAAGCGTGCAGATGCGAGCCTCCACCTACACACCCACTGCCTGCCTCTGGGGACGCATCACTGGCTGTGCCTCATTCGCTGGCCCGGGTCAGGTCACAGAAGCGTGCCGGGAGTGCCTGCTGGCCGAAGAAAGGGCCCCAGCCCTCATCCTAACTTCCAGCCACGGAGCCTGCCTCCTGCACGGGCAGTGGCTCGGGAGCCTTCAAACTGAAGCCCCTTCATGACTTGCTTTGGAGGGGAGCCTCAGTGACGTGCTCTTGGGTGGTCAGAGCCACTACACACTTAATTTGTACCCATGTGATTTGCTTCAGATTCAGTGCTGTCCTGGGGACCTTACCTGTACAGCATGGTAAGTGGGAGGGCCCGCGCCTCTGCATCCTCCCTGGCAAACAGCCCCGCCCACTTCTCTGGCCCTGACTTCCTGTGTCCCCAGGAAGCGGAAGCTAGACGATTTCACCTAGATGGTGGGTCCTCAGGGATTGTTGGTCCACATTCAGTTGAAGACCCTGAGCAGCAGGTAGCGTGCTCCCTCCATTTTCCAGGCATTAGCAACCATACTTTTAAAATACCCTGGGCCAGGGATTTAGCTCAGTGGTGCTGCCACCTGCCTCCCAAGCAGAAGGTCCCGGGTTCGATCCCCAGTACCTGTCCCCAAAATACGCTAACTTTTCATGATGAAAATATTCAACCAAGCGTGGTAGTATATTCCTGTAATCTCAGCACTCTTCGAGGCTGAGAAAGGAGGCTCGCAAGTTTGAGCCCGACCAGGATAACTTGGTGATTTAACAAGCCTCAAAGAGGAAGAAAATGACTGGGGATGTAGGTCAGTGTGAAGGCCCCAAGTTCAATCCCCAGTACCACACTAAACAATAAAAAATAAAAAAGCTCAAATATGTCCCCAAATTAAGATATCCACCACCTTGATTCAGTTAACGTTTTGCTGTATTTCTTCTGTCAGCGTGACATGGAACAACTTAGGAGCTCCCCTTTCTACCCGTCTCTGGTTGCAGCAGTACCAGATTTATGCACCGAAGGAAAATGAACCTTTTTGTTTCTGCCTTCTAGTCTCTTCTCGACGACGCAGGTCTGGCAGAGGTGTCTGCCATGGCAGAAAAGGTCCTGGCTGCTATAAACAGGGGGTTCTACAAGGAAGCCACCCAGCTGTGGGGGGAGGCGGAATTGATCATTGAGAAGGTAAAGGGGTGGATGGGTGTCCCGTGGGTGTCCCGTGGGTGTCCCTGTGGTGCAGGGCGTGTGGTTTGTGAGGGAGATGGGGGCTCTCCTGGGTCTCTCCGGAAACCTGGAAATGACTGTGCACCAGACAATACGCCTGACGGGTCTAAGCAGTGATGTCGTGATCTGTATGACGGACTGTGACGTACAGAGGTGTGTGGTTCAGAGACAATTATTTGTTGTCACGGTATTAAACTTGGGCCCTTGCGCTTACGAGGCAGGCAGCAGAACCACTGAGCCAAGTCCCCGGCCCCTACTCTCTGCCTTTTCGTTTGGCAACTTTGATGTCGGAAAAAGAAAGAAAATGAACAGCCAACTGTACTTGTGTATTTCAGAATACAGACGGGGTGAACTTCTATAACATCTTAACCAAAAGCACTCCCGATCCGGCCAGGAAATCCAGCCTAGAGTTCGTGCCAAACCACCTAGGTGAGTGAACATGGATGCTGTCAGCCCTACCTCAGCCTCCTGCGATGAGAAACCCATCTGTTTTAAAGCTTTTTAACTGTGTGTTTACATAGCCTAAGCTTCACCCATTTTAAGGGTGTAATTCCGCTGTTTTTAGTATATTCCCACTTAAGCAGCCGTCGCCCCAATCCAGTGTTAGAACATTTCTGTCATCATCAAAAGATCCCACAAGTCTATTTGCATCACTTCTCATTCCCGTGCCCAGCCCTGGGCAACCACTAATCTGCTTTCTGTCTTCTTAGACTTGCCCTTTCTGAACATCCGTTACAAACGAGGCCATATCATAGTGTCATTTTTTTTTTTTCTTGCAGAACTGGGGATTGCACTGAGGGCTTACACGTGCTAGCCAAGTACTCTGTTGCTGAGTCAGACACCTGACCCTTTTTGTTTTATTTTGAAACAGAATCTTAAGCTTCCCAGGCTGGCCTTGAAGTCACAATCCTCCTGCTCCCTTGGCCTCTTGAGTGGCTGGGAGTACACGTAGGCACACACCACCAGGCCTGGAATATATTAGTCTTTGGCACCTGGGCTCTGTCGCTTAGGGTTGAATTTAGTGGCCCTGTAGCCAACATCCCCTTTGTAAGAGGTGAATAAAGGCTGCGAGGTACCCCTAGATTCTACTTCTCAGCTGGTTTTCCTTGTCCCTTTTGTATAATGCCAGTGGCCCCTCAGTTAATACTAAAAGAGCCTTCCTACTTTTAACCTGATTCTGACTTTATTCCTCCTCCGGATTAAATCAGGTATCAGTTTTCCTTTTCCATCTGAGATCCTCCCTCTTACTGCACTGCACCCCCAGCAGCTGGGGAAAGATGTCCCCATGGTCCTGTGTCCAAGCTCTTGACTCAACTGTGTACCGGCTTGGTTTTAGTTCGTCTTTCTCAGCACCACGTGCGACGCCTGAACCAGGATGCCTTAAGTCAGCTCATGAATGGCCCCATCAGAAAGAAGCTCAAAATTATTCCTGAGGATATCACCTGGGGAGGTATGTGTGTGACCTAATTAAGTGGCATTTGTAAAGTTGGTAAAAGAGAGGAGGCCTTCCTTCATCTGTGGAATGGACTTCAAACAACGCTACATCCACATTTTATAGATGAGCAGGCAGGGGTAGGGTCAGGGAGCAACACACTAGGATGGGTTCCCGGGGTTGGTAGGGACGTGGGTGGGGAGAGACATGACACGTGATTGGTTATGAGTCAGTAATTTCTGAAACCTGCTTTGGGAACATGAGGATGATTGTCTTCTTCTCTTTACCTTGTCTCAGTTTGAAATTTTAAGGCAAAAGGCTCATGTCCAAGGCCATGGTTAGCGGCAGGTTAGATTTCCAGCCAGAGGTCCTTTGCAGGGTGTCAGGCACACCTGTGTGTGTGGACTGGTTTTGACCAGCTCCCGCTTGCTGGTCTCCCTGGCATCCTGATGCTGGCTGTGGTCTGCCATGGACCACATCTGCTGTGAAGGTCATAGTATGGAGTCTTTAGCGATAGCGCCAACTAGAAATCTTGAGCACGTTCCTACTTAGTCCCGCAAAGAAGCCTTAACACGTTCACAGTGGGGCTATAATTTGTATTTCTTGCTGCCAGGCAGCTTGAACCACTGGTGGTGCGTGCATGGCTATCCCATCGGGTGCCTTTTTATTAATTTTATTAGTAAAAAGACTAATAAAAGTGATTGAATCCATGGTGCCACTAGTGGTACAAGCTGCCCAATGGGACGGCCACGCGTGTACCACTGGGTGGGTCAGGCTGGAGAACATGTTAAGCAGGGTCCCCCATTTTCTGGTGGGAAACACTCCAAGCAGGCTGAGCGGGTTTTGTGTGTTTGTGTGTGTGTTCGAGGTACCACTAGACTATGTGGTCAGGAGGCCCCTTTCTCGGATGGCTGCTTGGCAGCTGCTAAAGAACTAAGACTTGACCCTAGTCCGGGCTTCTCCCGGGATCATGGACCGTCTTGTCCCAACCTGCAGGCACCAGGAGGCTCTCCCTAGACCTGGTATCCTCATTCTCCTAGATCAGCTAGGAGGCGGGTGGTGGTGTCTACAGCTGTAGGCAGTGGACACAGCTATGAGGACACAGCTATGGTGGCCCTGAGCTTGTGAGGAATCATGGGAGTGCAGGTGTAGAACAGGCCCTTATGAACGCATCCTTTCAGCTCACCTCCTCCATTTTTTCTTCTTGTGGTATTTTCCAGCCCCAGATTCTCTGGCTGTAGGAACCCTCTCTCCCCAGGGTGGCTAGATGGGCAAGGTGATTATGTTTCTGCAGCTGGTTGCTGGTAGAGAAAACCCTCTTTGGCTCCAGATCTGTGAGTGATCCAGAAAGGACAGACCGCCCTCAGCCACTGTCCCCTGGGCCTTGAGTTGCAGTTTAGAGGGAAACGTACCTGAGGAGAGTCAGGCAGGCCTGAGTTCAGATCTCAGCTCTACACTGACCAGCTCTGTCTGCTAGGCAACTCAGGGCATCTCACTTCCAAAGGCAGAGATGGAGAACAAGTGGGAAGTAGTTTTTAAGACACATATTTAGCCCTATGGCTGGGCCTAAGTGGCGGCTGCTCGTAGCACTGTAGCCACTCGGTGTGACGGCAGTGCAGGGAAGAATCCAGCAGGAACGCTGTGCTGACTGGCTCTTCCCTTGCCGGGCCTCATTACCCACGTGGCTTCCCTGAGGCCCAGCTCTAAATTGGCTTGGGTCTGGCTTGGTTTATTAAAGGCAGTCGCACTTGCTCAGACTTTGGAACACAGCCCTGGTATTACCCAGCCTAAAGGGACAGCATTGGCCCCAGAGTACAGTTAAGTCCCTGGTGGACCTACTGAGTGTCCCTGGGCCTCTCTGCCCCGCTAACTGCTAGCTCCCAGGTTTTGATTCCACATTAAAAATGGTGTCTTCCATCATCTCACGCATGCAAGGGAATGGACCACGTATGCTGTTCATGCTTCCTTTCCACCCATAGCCGAGGCGTGGGTCCCTGTGAGGCTCTTGCCACTCAGCTTTTGCTAAGTGCTGCATGATGGTGACTTCTAGGTGCTTGGAGTGCAGGGTTCTTGAGCTGAAAAGCACCTCTTGTTCTGGCACATTCTAAGTTGCTACCTCTTTCTTGCTCCGAGTAGCCCAGTCTTCTTACGTCTTCATAAGCATGGAAGAGGACTTCATGAAGCCGGCCATCAGCATTGTGGATGAGTTGCTAGAAGCTGGGGTCAACGTGACCATATACAATGGACAACTGGATCTCATCGTGGACACCATGGGTAGGAACTGACTCTAAGGCAGGAGCCCCGTGGGTAGGAACGCGCCTCGAACATGTCAGTCTTGGCATTGGTGACATTGATGCCGGGGGAAAGCCATTTCTTGCTGCCTCTGTCCACCCTGACCTTGGCTTGTCAAAGAGAGGGAAGCTGAATACAGCTGTGATCCCTCAGGGAGGTCTGGGCCCTGCTAGCTTTTTTGTTTTGTTTCAGTTCTGTTTTTGTTTCTTTTTTGAGACGGTCTCACTTTGTAGTTCAGACTGGCCTTGAACTCACTGTGTAGCCCGGGCTGGCCTCAAATTCACAGTGATCCTCCTGCCTCGGCCTCCCGAGGGCTGTGATTACAGGTTTTTACTATACCCAGCCCCTGCTAGGCTTTGAGGAATCTTGTCTCTCAAAACTTGAAGGCCCTTCAGGTTATGATTAAAGACTGCCCTCTACAAAAACTTCCTGGCGGTTGGGCAAAGGCACTATTTAACTGGGGGAAAGACTTACGTATCAGTCACTTTCCTGCACAAAATAGCTGATACTTACAACTTCAGGGAGGAGAGGTTTTTTGGGCTCAGAGATCTCAGTCTGCGTGTGGTCTGCCAGCTCACAGGCAGACATTGCCTGGTGGAAGGAAGAGCAAAGGAAAGTAGAGAGAGGCAAAGGAACAGGAGAGGGAGGTAGACCTCAAAGCCACAACCTCGACACACCTCTGTCAGTCATGCCCCACCCCGTGAGCGCATCGTGGAGCAATCCACCGATGATTGGAGCACCCAGTGATTTAGTCACCTCTCAAAAGCTGCACGCACTTGAGGGTGACATTCTAGATCTAAACCGGAAGCCCTTATTTTTGTACAGTGTCACAGTAGATATGAAGCTCCACACACTGAATTAAAACTAAACCCTAACAATTCTCTAGTCCTCTGAGAACCCAGGGAAACGTAGCTCCGAGATCCCAGGTCCTGCTCTTTGCCTGGCCTGCCATCCCTGAGCTCACTGTGGTGTCAGCAGGGACTGGTGGAAGCTCAGGGACATTCTCAGGAGCCTCTTTTCTTAGCACCAGCAGGAGTGAATGCTTTTGCACCTTGCAACCTGAAAAGTTTCTAGTTTCTTCCATGCGCTGCCCAGGTGACCCTCCTTCATTCTCATCCCTGACACTCCTCTGTCTTCCTGTCAGCCCTGTCAGCCTCCAGGGGTCCCTGGTTCCCTCCCTAAAGAGCAGGTGATAGCAGGAGATAGCAGGAGAGTTAGTGGCAAAAACAGCTTCACAGCCATCAGTTTTTCACAGCTCAGACGTTGCTGGGAACCTGCTAGAAATACAGGTGTGCAGGCCTCACTCAGAAAGGCTGAATGATAATTTGCATTTGATGAAGGCCCCTGTGAGTTTTCTGTACATTTGACTGGGAAGCATCAAGTTATAGGGCCTAGCTCTCCTGCACCCGCTTCTATACAGCTAAACAGTGCGGCTCTCTGGGGGACCCCGTCCAGCGGGGAATAGGAGGTGAGAGCCGCCTCTTATTCGTGGGTCATCAGAGGCCGATCCGATCTTGAATGTCTGTGAAGGAAATCTTTAAGAAGTGTGAGCACACGGCCCAAGTCTGGTTTCTGATCAAAGGCTCTTTATTGGCTCAGCAAAACGATTATATACTGTTATCCCAGGGGGAAGGTTCAGCAAGCTTATTGGACAGTTCAAACAAATCCTCTACCAATCACATGAGTCACTCAAGCATTTAACCATACAGCAATCAGTATTTTACCAAATGTGGGGAGGGGTAAGTGGGAAGGCGTACATCAACAGTTAACCCTATGCAATCTTTAACTTAACAATCTCTAGGGGCAAGCAGGACAAGGAAATATCACCGGCCTCCTGCTCCAGATCCCGTGACCCTATGGTTAGCACAAAGGGCTATTTTTTTTTCTGTAAGATTCCCTGTTTGCCCAGGGGCTAGACCTGCCAAAAGTCACGTATGTAGTCTAGTGGGATTTTTCCACCGAGGCAAAGGCTAAGGTTGAGGGCAGCCATCTTGTGCAGGCCCAAGCAGTCTCTCACAAAACAGCATTCTTTTTTTTTTCAAAAGAGCTACAAAGGGATTTACTAGGCAGAAATTTAAAGTACGCACTTACGTAACATGAGTCCTCAAGAGAGAGGCGTGTTCTCATCTAGAGCTGGGTGTGTGTACGGGGCAGGGGATGTTTTCAAGCTGGGTCATCTGTGATGTGTATTTCTACCACCTGTCATGTCACCCGTCTGACGGGCCGTGCCAGAATGCAAAGCCTGACGTGTGTGTGAAGTTGAGATCTGCTGCCCGTTAAGGTTGCTGCTTCCTTGACGGTGGAAGTCTGTGAAAGGAAGTGCAGTTTCCAGGTGGAAAGCACAGGCCCAGAGCCCCACTTACTGGCTCACTGAGAATCTGGAAAGGAGGACAAGAGCATTGGCAAGTCATTGAAATTTAAGCTTGATTTTATAACCTGCTAAACAAGCAGGGGCCAAAAATTAAATGTAGAATCTTGGTGAATAAAGGCTGTACAAAGTTGGAGAGGTCAGGTACAATTAGGTAGCATTTGGTAGAAGCCTTTATCTTTAATATTAACCTCTATTTGTTTACCCAAACAAGTGGAGCTTAAGAGCATATGGGCTCTTCCTGTTTGGTTAATAAAAAATCTCGGGCCAAGAGTTTAGCTCAGTGGTGCCACCACCTGCCTTGCAAGTTCAAGGATGTGAATTTGATCCCAGTACCAAAAATAATACAATAATAAGAATAAGAATAAATAACTCTAGTGTTCTTTTAATGATAACAGTGGTGAAAGAATACACTAAAGATACCTGTTTTGGGGACTTTTGGGCCATTAAAAAGTTTTTTACTGTGAGGCTCAGAACTCGGATCTGGCTCCTGTGTTACAGGACCCAAAGACCTTTCGTAGTGACTGGATACAGATAATGTAAAGTTAGTTTATACGACTATACAGTTTAGACCTCTTAAAAATTTGTCCTGGGGGTAACATAGCTTGTAGTTAGACTGTTTCTATTGCCATTCCTTTGTTTTAGGCACCCCTGGACAAGAAGCTAAGTCTTTACCTAAGACGTACTGGCAAGTACTTTGGATAACATAATGAGAATTTCTTTAGAAGGACACATTTTTGGAATAGCTGCTGGGCGGGGGATCAGAAGCTCCTTGTGAAAGCCACTGATGCTGGACCTTCTTCCTGGTCCCTCTCACCAGGTCAGGAGGCCTGGCTGCGGAAGCTGAAGTGGCCAGAGCTGCCCAGATTCAGTCAGCTAAAGTGGAAGGCCTTGCACAGCAGCCCCAAGTCCTTGGAAACATCTGCTTTCGTCAAGTCCTACAAGAACCTGTCTTTCTTCTGGATTCTTGGCGCGGGTCACATGGTAAGAGAGCGTCACCTTTCATTCCAGGCTTAATGTCATGCCAAGTGGAGAGTCACTGTGTGTGTCCACTGCCTCGATGGGCCTTAGAAGTACTTCAGGCTTGCAAGTGCTTTGGGTCTCTAGTGAAATTCTGCTCCAGGCTGAGGCTCTCTGATCCAAAAATCCACACTCCAGAATGGCCCAAAATTAAAAACTTCTTGAGTGTCAACATGGAGTTGCACACACCTGACCTCCTGTGATTCAATTGAATCCTGTGATTCAAAACCCGGGAAGCTGGGCCTGGTGGTGCATGCCTGTAATCCCAGCACTCGGGAGGCTGAGGCAGGAGGATCGCTGTGAGTTGAAGACCAGCCTGGACTATATAGTGAGTTCTGTGTCAGTCTCAACTACATAGTGAAACCCTGTGTCAAAAAACAAAAAACAAAAACCCAGGGGCATGAAAAAAACACATAAAATGAGCTTGAGGCTGTTTGTAGAGGTGATGTTATACTTGGTTCCCTTTCTCCTCATGTATGTGCAGATATTTCAGAATCTGAGAAACTTTGAAATCTGAGAAAACACCTCTGGCCCCAAGCATTCCAAATAAGGGATACTCAACCTGTTGATTGCCCCATTGCTTTGAGTATAGACTCATAAGAGTAAAGCCTATGGTGAGAGTTATGCTGAGTGCTCTGTCCTTTTAGGTTTATACGTGTCAGGCATGTACTTTCCTCTGCATAGTTGTCGTAGGAGAAGAAGGGAGAACTTGCCTGTCTCTGGCCGTTTGCAGGGAGTGGAAAACCAAAGCTGGCTTCTCTTTAAATTGAGTCACAGATCTCCTAGGTAGTGGTGGCCAGGTGCTTGTTTGGAAGAAGCTTTGAGCCAGGCATGATAGAAAACACCTGTAATCCCAGTACGGGGTGGGGGGGGGCAGAGGCAGGAGGACCACAGCCATCCTGGGCTACACAGTGAGTTCAAGGCCAACCTGAACTACATTGTAAGACCCTGTCTCAAATAAGCAAAATAAACAAACAAATAAACAAATAGAAGAGGCTTTGAACGCACAGCTGGGCCATGTGATGGCTGCCCTGCAACATGTGCCAGGTGGATGTTCTGTTTTCCCTTCAGTTATAGGTTGACGGAGTGGCTTTTCTTGAGCTGGGGAATATTATGGAAGCCTTGGTCCTGCCCCCAGCCCCTGCCCTACTCGCAGACTCACAAAGAACAAATGGCATGGGCTGGGGGAATGGCACAGTGGTAGAGGACTTGCCTAGTGTATGCAAGGCCCTCAGCTTTAAGTCCAAGCACCACAATAAGCAAATAAATATTCAAGTTAAAAAAAAAATAAAGCATTAGCAGGAGGCAGAAGGGTGCCAGGAACTTCCTTGGGCAAACACCTGTGTGTCTCCTAAGTGCCAACCACTGTGCTGTGCAGGTATTGAGAGCGCAAAGATGGATGGTGTAGAGCCCCTGTCCTCCAGGAGCTTGTGGGGGCGAACCTGTGGCACGCGTGCCATTGCCAGCTGTGTATAGCATTGAAAACTAAAAGGTTCTCCATCACTGGTCTGGGGGGCAGACAGGCAAATAGGCCCTGCACAGCAGGGAGAAAGTGGTGCTAAGATGGGGGTGACCCAGGGAAGTGTCCCCAGGTCTGGGCCCCCGTGTCTGGTCCCCCATGGTGAGCAGGGATGAGTTAGCTAACCTGGAGGAGCCTTCGGCAGGGAGGTCCTAGGAGGCTGTGAAAGGGCACTATGCCCAACATGAGTTCCGATTGCAGGCACCATTGGAGGGGTTTCCGACAAACGAGGGAAATTATCAGATTTGTCTAAGAACTAATGCTCTTAATAGCAGGGAGCATGGGGAGAGGCTGGGGTGGAGAGTTGAAGATGAGGCTGCTGTGGTAACCTAGGAGGGGCAAAAGTGGATGGATTTGATAAAGTATAAGAAGGTCTTTCAATTGGCTGGGTATAGTGGCCCACACCCATAATCCCAGCTACTCTGGAAGCTGAGTCAAGAGAATCCCAAATTTAAGCCCACCCTGTGCAACTTCATGAGACCCTATTTTAAGATAAAATTTTAGAAAGGGCTAGAGATGTGTAGCTCAGTGCCTAGCATGTATGAGGTCCTGGGTTCAATCCCCAGCACTGAGCAAGAAAGGGAAAAAAAAGGCAGGGGGAAGAATCAGTAGTTGTTTGGGGTAAAAAGAAGTGATGTTTCCCAGCATCCCAGAGCAGGCAGTGCTTGTTCATGTCAGGTGCTGCTGCGGACCCAGATAAAGTGACAGTGCCCCTGGTTCTCCCGCAGGCACAGCGCTTTTGGTGGAATGGCAGGCTGAGGGTGGGGTGGAAAGATGGGCAACAGGGTGAACAGTGAGGCAGATGACACCTTCCTTCCAGTGAGAGGACGTAGCCAGACTGGAAGCGAGGGCAGATGAGGCAACGTGGCGCAGGGGAAAGACGACGTTACTTACGGCTCTGGGGAGGTGGGGACCATAAGTAATGGCTGGGGAAGAGCCAGCAGGGAGTCTGAGAACCGAGCACTGTCACTGTGAGCCACCTTCATGCTCCCGCGCTGGGGTTCAGACCACTTCCTCTTGCTTTGTCACATTCAGAAGAAATAGCCCTTGGAGACATATTCAGTCACCCTCTTCTACTTCTTTAGTTGATGAAATGTCATTTTAGAATGTCCCGCTGCGTCACCTCCTGGGGACGCCTGCTTGGCAGGAGAGTCCAGGACAGGGATGTGCAAAGAGAACCGTGAGCTGGGGGATTTCAGACCCGAGAGACCGTCTCTTCACCCCACTTTGTAGAAGAGACACCGAGGCCTCTGACCTTCCCCCTTGCATGGTGTGTGAGAAGGTGGCTTTTGGTTTTATTTTGTTTCTGGTAGTGCTGGGGATCAAACCTATGTCCTGTTCATGGTAAACACGAGCCTTTCCACTGAGTGCATCCCTACATCGGCAAACAAATTCTTCAAAAGATTTATTCTAAAAAGCTTAGAGGAGACAAAAGAGACGATGTAAAACTTTGGGTGCTATCCAAACCAACTCTCCTGTTAGCCTCCCTCTCAGCCTCTTCGGCACTTTGTTCCCAGTCTGGGGTGCCCTACACCGGAATCGTGTCAGATGTTGAGTATCTTCCCTCTTCCTGGAGCAGGTGCGGTCCCAGTTCCCTGAGCAGAGCCTCTGTAAAGAAAACCAACAGGGGCTGGGGGTGTGTAGCACAGTGGTAGAGCACTTGCCTAGCACGTGTGGGTCCTGGCCTCCTTCCTCAGCACCCAGGACAAAGAAGGAGACATCAAGAGAGCAGCCCTCAGTGCAGTAGAGCGTTCTTGTCTAACAGCCGGCTTCTCCAGACCTCTGCCACTGAACACAGTCGGGGCCCAGCACAGCTTCTGTCCAACGCAGGGGCGGTCGGGGTGCCCCGGGGGGCAGCTGTCCTCACACTCGCTGTCACAGAGCTGGCTCCCTCTAGGAGCTGGGCTTCAGGGTGCTGCCCTCTCCCCACTTAGGAATGGCACTAGGAGCACTAACTCGCCTGCCACTTGCTTCCAGGTTCCCGCTGACCAAGGAGACATGGCTCTGAAGATGATGCGGCTGGTGACTCGGCAGGAGTAGGCGGCCCTGGGGACACCAGAGCATCAGGAAACCCAATCGATTGTCCCCAAGTCCGGCGTGGTCCCAGATGATGAAAGCTGTCCCAGCTCCCGCAGAGAATGAAAGCTCACCCACTGCAGTGACTTGGAAGTCATTTCTGCCCTTTTTCTTTTTCCCTTCAGTTTTGAGACAGGGTCTGGCTGTGTAGTCCAGGCTGGTTTTAAATTCACTGTGTAGCCCAGGCTGGCCTCGAACACACCGATCCCCCCCGCCTCAGCCCTCAGCCTCTCAGTCTGCTTGAAACAAACAAACTAAGCTTTAAAAAAATGGGTTCTTTTAATCAAGATAAAGGATTGTGATAGATTGACTTGCTCTTCTAAAAGCAAATGCTGTGATTTACTGAAAAGGTGAGAAACATAGTTAGCAAAGAGCGAAATCAAAACCCATATGCTTCCTTCCCAGGGAGAAGCACAGTCACCAATCCAGTATCTGTCCCTGCCTATCTCTTTTTGCTACAAATACATATTTTTTTAATAAAAATCAAATCATCACAGTGTATTATTTTACCGTCTACTTTGTTCGTGTATCAGTATATCCTGAACACCTTTCCGTGTCAATAAATGTTCATCTGTAACATTTTTAAGGGCTTCTGAACATTTCGTTTTGTAGTTTGATTATTTACCAAATTCCCAATGATTTCTGGCAAGTAATTTCTAGTTAGTTGTTATTGTAAATGGTACTCTGGTGATTCATCATGATACTTAGGGTTTTATGCACAAATCTTACTATTTCTTTATAGTGAATTTGTAAAAAATAATTAGTTGAAGGATTACCACATTTCTTTAAAGTGATAAGTTTTGGACTTAATTTTGTTTTTGTTTTTGTTTTTTGAGACGGGCTTGCTATGTAGTCCAGGCTGGCCTTGAACTTGTGGCAATCCTCCTGCCTCAGCCTCCCAAGTGCTGGGATTAAAGGCATGTGCCACACACCTTGCAGGACATTTTTTTTTTCTTTTTTGGTGGGGGTACTGCAGATCAAACTTGGGCCCTTGTGCTTGCAAAGCTGGCTGCAGAACCACTGGAGGTAAATCCCTGGCCCTGGATTTTTATTTTTTCCTTCACAGCTCAGTGCTGCACAAGGGACCTTATGGCTTCCAAGCTTGTCCCGAAAGGAACTCCACTTCCTGTAGTTGTAGGATTGTTTTGAAAATCAAGCCCAAAGTGTATTCCTGCAGAATGTGAACATAGGTTATACCTGCATGACCAGCACTCTGGGACCTGAGCCTCCACCAGGCTTCCTGGGCAGGGTCCATACATGTCCCTGTGGCCACCACTAATGAGCTGCACTCCAGCAAACCCTTTAGAGAACATGAGAGGCCTGTGCTGGGCCTTCCTGGACTGTGCCAGTACATACCTTTTTGCCTGTTGCTTTTGCTGTGTGTCTTTTGCTGTTAACAAAAAAATAGCTGTGAACATAATGTGCTTTTGAGTTCTTTAAGACCTGGTAAAGCACCAAACACAGCATTGAATTACAACCCACTGAGTTCCCAACTTCACAGTGACCTATTCAAAATTAATAGATTGGACTGGGAGTGTGTTCAGCATGCGTGGAGCCCCGGATTTGAACCCCACATCGGGAAAAAAAGACGTGTCTGTGCCAGATCCTGGTAATCCAGGACTTAAACATGACTAAAATTGATGACAAGTTGATCTGAGGAAGAGGTATGAAACTAGACCTCTCTGAATGGCAGAATAGGAAGGTATTTCTGTTCCGTGTGAACAAAGTGTGAAGAAAGATTGTAATGATGGGGTGGGTGGACTCTGGACAGCTCCGGCCAGTCTGATGGACTATGAGCAGAGTGCCCATGGTGACAGAGATGGAGGGACCAGCCACGTGGGCTTCCACTCACCCAGGATCCCCTGGCTACTGCCGCTGCGGGGGCCCTAATCTAGCAGCAGAGACAACCCTGAGCCCCTCACTGATCATGTTCCCCGGGGCCGGCCAGCCACCAAGGTTATGCTGGTTACACTGGACCACTTCATCATGGAAGAGGCGACACTGTTCTTACTGGAATTGATGCTTGCTCTGGATATAGATTTACCCTCCCCGCTTATCGTGTTTCTGCCAAAACTACCATCTAGGGACCTATGAATGCCAGGTCCATGCTTATGGCATTCCCAGAAAATGAAACGCGGCAGTGGAATTGTTCATGTGGAATTCACGGTTTTCCTTGCTTATCCTCTTGCAGTAAATACCTTAATGGATGGCCAGATGGCTTTTTGGAAATTTACTTGCAATACCTTATAGGGAGTTGGCCCCTTATAGGACAGAGGCATTATCCAAAGTACATGATGTGTGTGCTAAGTTGACCTTACTGTTTCCCCGATAGTCAAGCTTCATGAGTCCAAGAGTCCAAGAATAACCATGAAAGTTATTCCTCTCACTATTGGCTTTATCCAGTAGTGCTACAGTAATGAACTTTTTGCTTCCTACTCCTGCAACTGACACTGTTTTGGTCTAGAGGTCTTGGTTACTATTACGGCTTATATCTAGATGTCCCCCAAAGCCTCATGTGCTCGTAGGCAGGGCTTTGGGGAGGTGACTGGATCATGGCTGTGTGGCACTGAATTAGTCTACTGATGGTTCTATAGCTGGGTGTGATGTTGGGAGGGGAAGCCTCGTGGGAAGAGCTTTGACGCTGCTCTGCTACCTGCCTGCCGCACCATGGACTGTTTCTCTTCTGTGATGCCCTTCTGCCGTACTGCCCAAGTTTGGAACTAGCAGACTATGGACTAAAGCCTCTACAAATTGTGAACCAAAAGAAAAAAAATCTCTCCTCCTTTAACTTGTGGGTGTCAGGTATTTTGTTTCAGCAACAAGAAGGTAACTAAGACAGTTACAAAGGGAGAACAGTTCTCACCAAAGAACACAGTAAAATTCTATTGAGTTGGAGCTTGAAGCTGCCGTCCGGCCTTCTTGGGCACTGCACCAACAGGCAAAACGCTGGCTGGGATGATGCATCCCAACCATTCTGATTATCAAGGGGAGACCAGTTGCTACTACTATAAGATGGCTGTAATGAAGAAGAATACAGGACATGTTTTGGACCATCCCTTAATGCTCTCCCATCCTCTATATAAGATCAGTGGAAAGCTGTAACAATCTAGTATATACTGCTAATGGCCCAGAGCTTTAGAAAACGTGGGTCATCCCCTAAGGCCATGACCAATGAGGTGCTTGCTAAACGCAAAAGAAATAAGAAATTTCAACTAGGCAAAGTAGTACACACTAATCCCAACTACTCAGGCTGAAGCAGGAGGATCACAAATTTGAGGCCAGTCTAGACAACTCTGTGTTTCAGAAAAGGGCTGCTGATTTAGGGCAGTGGTAGCACAGTTGGCTATCATAGGTGATGCCCTAGATTCAATCCAGATCACTACTGAGCTAAGTACTATCTATATAGTAGGTGACAAGAGCTGAGCTCTTGTGACCTGTTGTAGAATGAGTATTGTAATGTATTTCTTCCTCAATAATATTAGGCAAGTATTTCACTTCTATCTCCTCTCTCATCCCTTATCATCTAAGATGTTTTAATAGATAACTTTATATGCAAGTATATTGAAAGATTTCAGGGAAGAAGGGTGAATCAGCTACACAAAAAAGAAAACTTCAAAAAATTAAAAAGGGCCTATAATGTTCTTCTTGGACAGAAAGTGTTTTTTGACTGTAAGAGAGATAAAGTTGTAAAGCAGAAGTCTGACTTGGTTACTGCCACCATCTGGAGATTAAGTACTGTTTTAACCACACGTACAAGCATCATGTTGGCAAGGGGTGGACTGTAGGGTCTTCGTAATACTTCAGCATGGCTAGATTGAACTGCATTTTCCAGAACTGCCTTTCCTGTATGTTCCTTTTCTTTTCTTTTTACCAGTGTCAGATTTATAGACAGTTGCCTCATGACCAGCTTCTGACCAGCTCTGACGCAGCACAAGTCAAATCCTTCTAACACACATGCACACACACACACACACACACACACACACACACACAGAGTTCTGCCTCCCTGAGTAAATCCTAATTCATAAGTTCTGCCGCCCTGAGTAAATCCTAATTCATATAGGTATTTAAACTTAATTACTTGAATGGAGTCAAAATTCCCTGTAACTGGGATCTAAATATTCGACAGTGTCATTATGTTTTATATTTTAGTTTGAGACAACTCACTTTTTTCCTGCCTAAGCTGCCAAGTAGCTGGGACTGCAAGGTTCCCTCCACTGTGCCTGGCCCTTCTCTGCTTACTTTTTTATACCTACACATCTTCAAGGGAGGGCAGAGTCACACAATCATCTAATTGCCCATCCTGTTTTTATAGGGTTGTGTTTTGTTTTGTTTTGTTTGAAACTGGGTCTCACTGTTAGTTCAGACTGGCCTTGATTGAGCTCACTGTGTAGACCAAGCTGGCCTCACACTCAGGGCTAGCCTCCTGCCTCAGCCTCCCAAGTTCTGAGATTACAGGAATGTACTACTACACCCGGATCATCTGGTTATTTTCCTGATTGCCCACTCGGTTCTTATTCAGGAAGACTGGAGAGGGTGTCTCTCTGTGATCTGTTTAGTCTTTCAGCCACCTAAGCAAGGAGAATGTCGGAATCTTGAGCAGTAAGTTTTGGGTACTTTTACCTATGGACCCTAGTGGCAGAAACACTCAAAATTTGTCTTTCTCTGCTTCAGGGTAAACCAAACACTTTGGAAGAAGCAAAGTCAAGAGAAACCCAGAGACTCCATATTTGATGAATATAGGTAGTTTTCTATTTCTGTGTAATACATTAACCAGAAACATAGTGGCTTAAAAAACCTTTAAGCCAGACATGATGGTACATGCCTGTAATCCCAGTGCTGTGGGAAGCTGAGGCAGGAGGATCACAAGTTTGAACCCAGCTCAGGCAACTTAGTAAGACCCTGTCTCAAATGATGATGATGATGATGATGATGATAAAAGGGCTGGGGATTAACTAAGTGTGAAGATCCTAAGCTCAATCCCCAATACCACACACAGCCTGTGTTACCTGAGTCTTCTCAGGTGTGCTGACTCCTCCACCTTAGGGTCTTTCACAGAGGACTGCAATCAAGATCGTGGCCAAAACTGCAGCCCCTGCAGAGCTAAGTCAGGATGGAATTTGTATCCAAGCTCAGCCCTGAGGTTCCTGGCAAGATTCAGTCCTTCATGGGCTGTGGGACTGAGGGCCTCCTTCAACTACTTGCCATGTGAACCTGGCCACAGGGAAGCTCACTACATGTCATCTGGCTTTATCAGATCAGGCAAGAGAGAGAAAGAGTACAAGAAGGCTTCCGCCGCCTGCCTCAAAAGTGCAAGGTCCCGAGTTCAATCCCCAGTACTAAACAGTCACCTACTCCATTCTTCAAATTGAAAAAATTTTATTAGTACGTGTCTGCAGTGCATGATGATTACAGCCATCACAGGGAGTTGGCGCATGGACGGAACACATCTTAGCTCCTTTTCATCTCCTGCCACTCCCCTCCCTCACCTTCCCATCCATCTCTTGGTCCTTCTTCCTTTGGCAACAGGCCTATCTCTCTGTTTCCTGTTATATGTATTTTAGTTTGCTC